CACCACGTTGCCCCGCAGCAACACCTGCCGACTGACACATTAGTCGCGATGTACGTGACACGAACCCCATCCGAGCTACATACAGTCTTCCACCGCACGCCTTTACCGTTGCTCGTACCGCACATAAACCTCCGCGTGAGATGGCAATGTCATACCATCCAGTGGGTGTCTCACGCATACCAGATCAATCTCAGCTTGCGAACAAGACGGTGATTGATGTTTACCTTTGACACAGAGTTTCGATATCTCCCGCTGTGGTCACCACCAGTGTAGCCATCGAATCTGGCCAGAGTGGAGCTCATTTGATCAGAAAAGAGCAGATGAATGGTACATCCAGCAATCAAATATCGGAGGAGGGGATCGAGCCCACGATCTTGAGCGTGTGAAGCTCACGTCCTAACCACTAGACGACACCGAAGACTGCACCAGAAGAAGATCGATTATCAAACAGCATCGCTACACAACATTTCCCAACAATCACTCGCCTTCAGCTCTCTTTCTGCTACACACACACACAAATCGCAACCGCCTCTACATGAAACCTGCCACTGTCACACTTCACCAAAGCCGCCCTGATCATCGCAATGAGATGTTAGCCATGATGAGCCAAGCACTTCCTAGCAAATGGACTGCTGCCTGAATGTGGTCGCTGGTGACCATCCAAGAGATCTCATACCATGGACTATCGATCGTTTGCCACTTGGATTCAGTCGATGTACAAACTGTACCGTGCCTACACACGATGAGCTCTCTTCTATTCACGTTATCGTGTAGCTGTGGCCACGTGTGCCCGTTCCACATGACTGAATCCTTACTTCAGATCTTCACCCAGTAGATGGCATACACATCCAGTCTGATTACTGGGCTGGAACCAAGGGTATTGGTGAGGGTGTTGAGCACCCGAAGACAGGTGGACATATGGAAAGGGTATCAAGTGATGAGACTGTGAGCAAGACACACCCATCTTCAATACTGTGATCGTGGCAGGCAAGACAAAGCATCTTGCGTAGACGCGGGATGTCTGTGAGTGGTGTACAAACACCCTGAACGACCAAATGTATCCGACAGCTGTGAGACTTGGACTCACGCGGGTTACCCCAATCGATTTCTAGTCTATCACCTTAGCCACTCGGCCAAGCTGTCCTCGCAGTCCAATCATCCCCAAATCGCATTTTGAAATTCTACAAGCTTTAGTTATACATCAGGCTTCGACAATCGCCACATGCGGTTCTGGGCCCTCTGAACCAGTTGGTCGAACTATCCAGACGCTTTTTCGTCGCCTACAAATGATGGTATTATGAGCTGACACCACATTATTACATTGCCTCCATGTGCTCTCTTTCTTACAGATGCAACGACAGGGTCAAGGCGTTCATGTTGTAACAAAGCGCGACTATCCAAAGCAATGTCCGAAGGGGTTTGTTGTGTGGCAACTGTCGTTAGCAATGACATCGACGGCTGTGAGACTCGAACTCACGCGGGTTACCCCAATAGATTTTGAGCTGTCGCTCTAACCGACCGGTTAAGCAGTCTTGAACGTCCACTGCTGAGATATGTCACCACGTTGCCCCGCAGCAACATCTGCCGACTGACACATGATTCGCGATGTACATGACACAATTTCCATCCGAGCTGCATACAGTCGTCCACCGCACGCCTTTACCGTTGCTCGTACCGCACGTAAACCTCCACGTAAGATGGCAATGTCATACCATCCAGTGGGTGTCTCACGCATTCCAGATCAATCTCAGCTTGCGAACAAGACGGTGATTGATGTTTACCTTTGACACAGATTTTCGATATTTCCCGCTGTGGTCATCACCAGTGTAGCCATCGAATCTGGCCAGAGTGGAGCTCATTTGATCAGAAAAAGAGCAGATGAATGGTACAGCCAGCAATCAAATATCGGAGGAGGGGATCGAGCCCACGATCTTGAGCGTGTTAAGCTCACGTCCTAACCACTAGACGACACCGAAGACTGCACCAGAAGAAGATCGATTATCAAACAGCATCGCTACACAACATTTCCCAACAATCACTCGCCTTCAGCTCTCTTTCTGCTACACACACACACAAATCGCAACCGCCTCTACATGAAACCTGCCACTGTCACACTTCACCAAAGCCGCCCTGATCATCGTACTGAGATGTTAGCCATGATGAGCTAAGATACCTCGGCTTCAACAAGATTCTATTCCTAGCAAATGGACTGCTGCCTGAATGTGGTCGCTGGTGACCATCCAAGAGATCTCATACCATGGACTATCGATCGTTTGCCACTTGGATTCAGTCGATGTACAAACTGTACCGTGCCTACACACGATGAGCTCTCTTCTATTCACGTTATCGTGTAGCTGTGGCCACGTGTGCCCGTTCCCCATGACTGAATCCTTACTTCAGATCTTCACCCAGTAGATGGCATACACATCCAGTCTGATTACTGGGCTGGAACCAAGGGAATTGGTGAGGGTATTGAGCGCCCGAAGACAGGTGGACATATGGAAAGTGTATCAAGTGATGAGACTGTGAGCAAGACACACCCATCTTCAATACTGTGATCGTGGCAGGCAAGACAAAGCATCTTGCGTAGACGCCGGATGTCTGTGAGTGGTGTACAAACACCCTGAACGACCAAATGTATCCGACAGCTGTGAGATTTGGACTCACGCGGGTCGCCCCCAATAGATTTCGGGGGAGTCTATCGCCTTAACCACTCTCGGCCAAGCTGGTCCCGCAGTCCAATCATCCCCAAATCGCATTTGAAATTCTACAAGCTTTAGTTATACATCAGGCTTCAACCAATTAGCCACATACTGTTCTTAAGTGCCCTCTGAACCAGAAGGTCGACTATTCAGTCGCTTATTCGACAATATTCACTGAGAATAATAACTCTTATAGTTATATTCTATTAACAATTTCTTATAAATTGTTATGTAACGATTCACCCCGTTACATCACCCCCTTAACCATCAGTCACTTTAGTGACTGATTGACTAAATGGCTACTCGTCCCAAATCATTTGGGACAGGGTTTGCACTTGTTGGTCCGAGTCCACTTTCCAACAGTTCATCGCATGGTTAACAAGCCCATGCGATGCGCGAGCAAGGCCGCCGAGAGCGCGTCCGCACGTCTCTGTGCGGACGCCGAAGCAGAAACCACAGCAACTGATGTCTCATCGGTTGCTGAAGCGACTCAGCCTGTGTCACTTGGTGATGCAGGCGCTGGTCATGAAGACACTCATGTCTTCACAGAGTATGAGCTCGGAGTCTCATGCTCTCCTGATACGGAAGACGGATCCGTATCGACGGCGATCGAATCCAAGCCGCCTGCCAAGCGTGGCATGGATGATGCTATGCGTCGTAGCATCTTTGGTTCATCTGATGAATCAGATGAACCATCGCCGAAGCGAAGGCGCTCGAGGTCGCGAGACTCGGGCGCTAACAGTGGTGTCGGTTCTCCTATGGACACCACTACGCAACGAGGTGCCAGTCCTTCTGTCGGCACATCGCAGGAAGAGCGGGACCGCAATGTCTTGCGTCTCGCTCCTGAGAAGAAGGCATGGATGCCTCCCAAATCCGTCATGGATCACTTGTCGGCGACGACGAGTGATCGTTATCGAACACGATTGTTCGATTCGTCAAGGATCCATCACCTTGACCCCAGCGCGAAAAACTATCGCGCTGAGAATGAATTCTTCATCGATGCTTTCTTTAGACATCGATGGTACAGTGGGAATCACAAGCGTGATGGTCCCTCACTGCTTCAAGCGTGGAACTCCTACATCCATAACCTTGAGGATGTAGGTCGTGACGTATGGAACGACAAACTTATCAAAGCTCGTGATAAGTTTGAAAAGCGAACCCCGACAGGTGCACGCTACAAGCTGCATCGTCTGTCAAGGGAGAAGGGATTACCCTGCCTCTCTTGGGGAGACTCGTGCCCATGTTGTGTGAACAACTCTGCACGAGCACCTAAGGAGGCTTACCTCCCTAATAGCCCGTGGTGGTGCGTACGTATCTCTATTGAGATGTACGAAGGGATTGACAACCTGAAATCCCTTTACGACCGTGCCGGGAAGACTTTCTCCGGCGGTCCTTCTGCGGCACAGGATGTGCCGCGTCGTACTGCTCAATCAGACGCAGTACGTCAATCATCAGTTGGGAGCGGGGCTCCCAAGTATCCCAGGACGGGGGATAGCCGCGCCACCGGACGAGATAACTCGTCCGACGTCCGTTCACGTCGCGGTGGTTCAACAGCTGCTCAACTAGATAGTGCTGGTCACCGCGAGAGTCCTCTAATGGAGGTGGAGGAGGAGGAAAGACGCTCTCCACACGATCATGGGGATCCGTGTGTTCCCGAGAGCTTCATTGATCGCGTAACGCAAGGGTTGCGCAACGATCTCGAACATGAGCGGGACAGGCGTCTCCAAATGGCGGACACTGTCTCGAAGCATCGAGCTGAGTTTGCCTTTGCTCAGCTTGAGAACGAGAGATCTCTGACATCTCTTCGTGACGAGCTAAGGGTAGCTCGTGGGATTGTTGATCGGTCTCGGGATGAGATAAATGCTTCAGACTCTTGTCGATGCCCACCATCGGGAGCACAAGGCTCTCTGCGAGATGCTTGAGCGCAAGGACGTTCTTCATCGGAAGAAGCAGCGTACTGATGGTACGGCTTAAGCCGACCAACGTAAAACGTGGGATGCGTTCGCATCTTACGTGGCAACTCGATCGTGTATGCATTGCATAGGCGATGCAATACACGAAATGGGCCGATGTACTTGGGTAGTAGTTTACTGCTACCCAAGTTAGTCACTACATGCTTTGGTAGATTAACCTTAGACAGTAGGACTAAGTCACCTTTATTAAATAAAAAGAGTGTTTGCCCTTCCATTCTTGTCAGCGTTTTGCTTTTGCTTATCCACCGCTTCGGCGATGGAGTCTTGCACAAAACGGACTACCGTTTCACGAGCCAGTATGAACTCATCTGATGACTCGTTAGCTTCAGTGCGCTGTGAGCGCACTGCAGCAAACATCAACCTTTTCTTCAGTGAGGGCTTCCGCACTTTCACTGGCATCATCTTCTTCGATATCGATGTTATCGATATCGGCATCAAACGCAATGACCTCTTCGTCAGAGCGTGATGAGCGTGAACCAAATCGGTTTTTGCTCGCGCTAGTACCCCCCCTTAAACCAGAGTTACACTCTAGTAAGGTGGGTACACGCGGATGGCACAAGCCATTCACGTAAAACGGTGTATGGGTCGTGGACGCATGCACCGCGTTGTTAATGGCAAACTCTACCATTGGCAAAAACTCACTCCAACTCTTAAAGGAGTGTACGTATCCTCGAAGTATCTCTTCAAGGACACGATTGGCACGTTCCGTCTGACCATCTGACTCAGGATGATCAGATGTCGACATCTTCAAGCGCGTTCCGAGTGATTTGAACACGGAACGCACGAAATCAGCAGTGAATCGTGGATCTCTGTCTGATACGAGTTCACGGGGCAACCCATGAAGTCGGAAGATGGTGTCGATAAAGACACAAGCACAGCCACTTGCCGTGATTGACTCTGGTACAGCCACAAGGTGTACCATTTTGCTGAATCTGTCAACAAATACGAGAATACCCGTATTCCCGCGTGCGTCTTTGGGTAACCCGAAGACGAAATCCATTGAGATGGATTCCCAGCACTCAGCCGGAACCGGTAGAGGCTGTAAAGGTGCACGCAGTGAAGGACTTGACTTCACTCGTTGACAGACTTCGCATGCGCGAACATACTTGCGCACAAACTGATACTGGCGGGGCCAGTAAAAGTCTCGACTCACCGTGAGATGTTTTCTCCCGGCCACGATGTCCTCCTATAGGAGCATCGTGATACTCGAACATGATCCGCAAACGCAGATCAGTATCATCTGGAATGACAACACGTGGTGTGTCACCAGAAACGGCTGTATAATACAGTAAACCGTTACGAGCAGTGTATCGATCTGATGCAGATCGATACTCAGACGACAATCGTTTCAACGATTCTCGAGATGGCTGTGAGAGATGTGTCAACAACTTCACAATCTCACCATCTTGGGCGTATGCCCGCCTCACATCATCATACAACGTTGTAGATGGGACTGAGGACGTCATAACCGCAACAGTGACTGTCTCACTGTTGGGTTTCACGACTGGTTCAAAGTCGGGACGACGTGAGAGTGCATCAGCGACGACATTAAGTCTTCCTGGTTTGTACTCGACCGTAAAGTTGTATTCTGCAAAGAATGACAACCACCGCGCCATTCGTTGTGAAAGGTGCGGGCTGTTCACTGCCGTGCGTAATGACGCTTGGTCAGTGTAAACAATGAAGGGTCTATCTCCTAATAGATAGACTCTGAACTTCGCGAGTGCATACTTCATGGCAAGGAGTTCCTTGTCATGCACTGGATAGTTCCGCTCAGCTGGTTGCAGCTGACGCGACTGATAGCAGACGACGCGTTCAACGCCGTCAAGATCGTACTGCATTAATGCACAGCCGATTGCGAAATCGCTGGCATCACAGACCACATGAAATGGCCTGTCCTGATCGGCTATTGCTAGGACTGGGGATTGTATCAAGCTCTGCTTGATACCATCAAAGGAGCGCTGACATTCAGCGTTCCATAACCACATCTCGTTCTTTTTCAACAAACGAGAGAGGTGTACAGTCATCTCGGCGTAATTGCGTGAATACTTATGCAAATACGCCGCTAGCCCAAGGAATTTTCGAAGACCTTTGACATCAACCGGCACAGGCCAGTCGGTGATCGCCTTGATCTTTTCGGGATCAGGACGTACACCGTTCTTCCAACGATGCACCCAAGAAGTGGTATTTCGCTTGTTGCAAATACACACTTCTTGAGGTTTGCATACAATTGATGCTTTCGCATGATTGTAAGGACCTGTCGGACGTGATACCTGTGAACCTCAACATCCGACTTTCCATCCATAGCCCGACTATGGATGAATACGTCATCGAAATAACTCGGCGCGAATTCTCGTACTGGTCTCAACAGATGTGTATCACATCTGTTGAACGTGGCAGGGGCATTACTAAGCCCTTGTGGCATTACTAGCCATTCCCAGTGCATGCCGCTAGGCGTGCTAACTGCGGTATAGGGTATATCCCGTTCTCTCATAAGGATTTGATAGAAGCCATCCATCAAATCCATGGACGAAAAGATGGTACTCTTTGACATACCATCAATGATTACGTCCTTCCTTGGTATCGGCGTCTGAGCCGGTACCGTTGCAGCATTCAGCTTGTTAAATGCATGCACTATCCGCCACCCTCCTGTTGCTTTTCGCACACAGAAGTTCGGAGAGCTATGTGGGGAAGTTGATTTCCTCACATGTCCCGCAGCTAAACGATCGGCAAAGAACTTGTCGATCGCAAGTACTTGTTCACGAGGCAGTGGCCACTGCTTCATGACACAGTACTTCGAGCCTGGTTTAAGCTCGACCTCGTGTCGAATACCTTTATCCTTCGGTAATTCGCACGGAACAGTTTCAGGGAATACATCCTTGAATTCAACCAAATCTTCATAGAGAGGATTTGTCTTGAGCGATTCCCACGATTGGGAGTCATATCGCTCAACTCGTGTCTTTTCATCTAGGACACTCTCGTCCATAGATGAACTACTGAGAACTCTCTCGTTCTCAGTAAATACTGTTGCTGACCTTATGTCGGCTACACACTCGTCGTCAGCGACGAGTACGCAGATCTGCTTGACTTTGCCACTACGCAGATCACGCAAGAACCTTTTATGTTTGAGCGTTGGCAACTGAGTGATCTCCGAAGTCAACTTCGGAGGCGCAATCAGATCAAGTGTATAAGCGCCTACGCTTGATCCGTCATTGACTATGACATTCAGTGTCTCTGTCATTTTATGGGACTTATTCCCTCAGGCCTCGAAGGACTTATTCCTTCGGCTTCCCGGGGACTTATTCCCGCGGGTTTCGGGGAACTTATTTCCGCCGTGTTTGTAATCTTGGGACTTATTCCCTTTACTTCCTCTAGCTGGGGTTGCGCAACCACAGCGAGATCCTCTACGAAAGACTCTCCAGTCGATCTAGTATTACTGTTTAGCTAAACCTGAGCGATCGATAGTTTTCTTCTTGATGTTCCCCGCTAGGGATGCATCTGTGTCCCGGTCCACTCGACTTATTCGAGTGGTGGACCTTCGGCGCAGCCTGTGTTTCCTCACAGCCGCCGTAACTTTGCTCCGAAGTGTAACCGTTTGGTACACTAAGGTTTTGTGCAGTCGTACTAACGACCGTACCACAAGTGAGGCCATCACACTCACTCTTAGTACATCCACACGCTTGTGGACGCTCCAAAATGTTCATCAGATGGCCATATGATGAACAAGCGGCAGGCATCGTTACTGTTCGATGTTGCCAGTTTACTCGTGGTTAGTACCTTCTGAGCCACGGTATTCCAAAGATGGCATCAAATTTGTCATCCAATTCCAATACGATAAGGTCATCGTCATATTGGGTATCTTCTAGCGTATAGTGGATCTTCACTATACGCTTCATGACGGTTACGGATGCGCCTGTCGCAAGACGTACCGTCATCCTCGTAGGAGGTGTGTCACATTCACTGAATTTAAAGTGACCATCTTCTAGCGATTGGCGTCGCACAAAATTGTTGGACGCCCCACAATCGACTAGAGCTCGAAGGGACAACTTATTCGTCACTTCGAGTTTCAAGGTAATGAGTGAGACCTCATTACCTAGAGCAGCAACGCACAACGTTTGTGTGTTGGGAGCAACCTTCATCAAGAGGCCTACAAATTCCCTTGAAGTTGCTAGACCAGTAGGGTGCTCCGCACCTACTGATCCTGTCCGTTTTTTGACGGTCCATCCCGTTGTTGCGTCTTTGCACCAACTGCGGACCCTCGTCCCTGCCCCTTTCTCATGGGTGGACGGTCACTACGCCCAGTGTCGCGAGACACTGGACGAGGGGCACTACACTCGTAAGCGTAGTGTCCTGTCTTTTGACATCTGTTGCATCTCTGCAACTTCTTGTAGCCTGTAGAGCGAGCCTTCTCGCTCTCTACATAACAGAGTTCCATCGGCTCTGGACCTCCGTTGTCATATCGTCTCGGTTGACGATATGATGTCGAGCTGGCGCGAGCCTGTCTCAGACTGAAGTCTTCCTGCTCCGCAATGGAAATGGCTTGTTCTAGTGAATCTAGTTCAAGCCGGAACAGGTGAGTCTTGACGGGACCATCCGCAAGACCCTGCATGAACACTGAAACCAACGTGTGTTCATCCACTGGATTGGAACTTATACAACTCATGAGATGTCGTATATGTTGCGCGTAAGCGTGCACATCACGCTTACCCTGCTTGAGCTTCAAGAGTTCGGTTCGAGCCCTGAACTCAGCTCTAGGCGGTTCAAACGTTTGTCTGAGCCGCGACTTGAAGACTTCCAACGACCCAAACGCATATGGGTCGTGCAACTTGAGCCCCAGTGCCCAAGTCTTGGCACGTCCTGCCAGATTTGACTGGGCGAATGCAACTCGCATATCCCCGTCGTCGATGCGGCGCGCCCTTATGGCGTCATCCAATTCGACGAACCATCTCAAGAGGGAGTCCTCTTCGACTCCCCTATACTTGGAGATGTCAATCTTCAAGGTTTCGGGTAGACGAGAGTGCATCGACCCACCAGCAGCAGCCTGCTGCTGTCTCAACAGTTCAAACTGTTGAGCACCTTGTTCTCTCAACAACTCTGCTTGTTGAGAACCTTGTTGGTGAAGCAAGACTACTTTCTCGCGTTCAGCGTCAAGTTCATTTTGAATGAACTTGGCGATAGTAGCATGTTGGACATCTCTATTGAGAGCCTCTTGCATGACGCTAACAGCATGGATGCCCATGGTTGAACCCATCCGTTCAACCGCATCCCATTCGACATCGCTCAAATGGGAGTAGCCGTCACGCGTAGCGTGAAAGCTTTGGTCATCTTCATCATCCAGCATATTCATGCTGGATGTGAACGCGGTCCTTGGACGGACTAAGAAGTGCTACCAGGTGTAACGGGGCACCCTGAAGCTTGTACTGGTGACAGTACAAGCTACTTATTCTGATAACAGAATAAGGCGGGACCTTCACGTACACTCGTACGTGCAGAGGAAGACTGTAACGGGGCACCCTGAAGCTTGTACTGGTGACAGTACAAGCTACTTATTCTGATGACAGAATAAGGCGGTGCCTCGGAACTTCACGTACACTCGTACGTGCAGAGGAAGACGGTAAGAAGAAGCGAGTACTCGGTTAGAGTAAAAAGTAGAACTGTATTTACAATAGTTAATGTCTGCAATAAATCACTATTTATCTTCATCTAACTATGTCTAAATACAAATGTGTAAATCAACTGTCTGCTCACCACTCATTGCGTGCGTCTGTCGTGGCGCGTCTTCGTTGGTTGATATAATAGCCTATATCAACCAATTAGGAACTACTCGTAAGTGCTACAGAAAATTTGTCCTTATGACAATATTCTGAGAATATAACTCTTATAGTTATATTCTATTAACAATTTCTTATAAATTGTTATGTAACGATTCACCCCGTTACACTGGCCTCCTACGAAATGCAAGCCAAACGAGCTCTACTTTTCGGTGTACATTACGTGATCTTGCGGTAATCGGCTTAGCTGGCGACGATTTTTTATGAGTCCTGCTCGTGTTATACATCTCGCGCACGAAATAGCAATCCAACACGAATGCTCATTTTGAACAATACAGCTATTAAGCGCGAAGCGTATTCGTAGCTAGACCATCGTGCAATTGTGTCGGCTGTTCGAGTCGTTGATGAGAATACAACGCAGGTGATCTCGTGAATAGCTAGTGGTAGCCAGATTGCCTCTTCGGCGATTTCAACCTTGGCTTACTCATTGTTGTCGCAAATGTGGTCATGACTGCGTCGCCTCCTATAATCGACATGTATGGCTTTTACAAGTGCAAAAAGGCTTTTCAGTCGCACACGACATCACAATCCATGTAACCAACTAACTGCGCGTCTTAGTAAGCAAACCGACCAAGTCGACAGCACGCTCGACGCGACATGACATAAACATATTTTGCAATTCGGAGTAACGTGTATCCATGGTTTTATTAGACCAGCTCATTAACAAATTGACGGAGCTTTCGACGGGCTGCTAGCTCGCTGTGGTCTCATTGTCGTCAATTTATCATCGACCTTTCCGTTGATGCTGGCATCGAATCACAATCGACACGTCGGCACTTTACTACCACGATGGCCTCCTGTACAAATTTCTCCTCATCTCACTGTTATAGCTTCCGTCGTTGCCGAGGTGTGCGTTCTCATGCAGCTTCTGTCAACCGGCCTCTGTCGTACAGGATGGCGATAAGCTGCCTTCATCACAAAGTTCATCGATGCTTGATTGACAAGCCAACATGGCATTACAAGATCCTGAATACCAACTTTATGGCTGGGCTGCTAACTGACAAGTCCGACTGTTTCGCTCTCTTACATGAACGCATCTGACTTATCATTGAGTACGACAAGTAAAACTGTGCCTAGGTTGCAAGCACATACGTTACTGAAGTAGCAAGCAGAACATGGTCGAGCTACATCTTTGTTTTACTAAGCTTCAGCTCATCTAAATGTATACTTGATGCCAAATGTCACCGTGTTCATGCACTTGGTGCCAGTCACTCTGGAGGTTGGCTGAGTAATCGCCTCGGAGCTATACCAATAAGTCAGTGTCTTTTACCAAGCGACAACCATCGATGCATCACACTGAGATAAACGATCACTCTCAGCCTGTTAAGGTATCATCAGCTCGTATAACTTACTTACAGTGTTCCTCGGGCATGCTTATCCGTGCATCCGCGATTCATGAACCTTAAGTTTATTGAAGTCATTTAGGATGGATACGCTAGCCTACATATACAACTACAACAAGACACAATTGAGGAGCTGTTCATCGCTTATCAGCACATCAGCGAAGCCTCATATCTCATCTTTCTTTTTCCAGGTTATTAGCAGGATACACTGCAGCAAAACTACCAGTTAATCTTGAATTGCTGGACGTGAACACGACGTGAGTCTCTATCGGAGAAGGTGTCTACTGGATCCTCCACATTCGATCGTCACGACAGTAACCAACTTCCGCTACACTTTTGATCACTTTCGCTTTGCGTTTACTCGTGACACGGTATCATGCATCGTGACATCAATTACTGTCCCGTAGTGGCAGTGCTGGCTGGTATAAGCTGGTCATTTGAAACTTGAAAACCTGCAAATGAATAGTAAGTTCGTCAGTCATGAATGAGAGCAAAGCACAAACCAGAAGACGCACCTCGTTTCCTACGCTGGTCCAGTTTGGCCGTAGTTCTCGAGCAAACAATTCCGCTTTTCTATTGCTCGCAGAGACAACCTCGTTGCCAAAGAAAGACTCTGGTGGTGGCTTCCAGGAGTGTCGCAATGGAATGCTCAGTACAATCCGCGTCTGCATACCAAGACGCTCACGCAAAAGCTGTTCGTGCTCAAAGTCTTGGGCTCGATAGGCAACGACTAATGTCTCGACAGGCAGGCGATGAGTGGAGTCCAGTGGTGCCACGAGTTCACCATTTTTGCCGAGCTTTAACCAGTACCAACAAGCATGAAACTTGAAGCCCCACGACGGCAGAGCTTGCTCTCGAAGATACGTCATGTATCGCGGTCGGTTGGTCACCCATATTGCAAGAATACATCCAGCCGTGTCCGCAATGCGCGGAATGTCTATATGCACCAGCTCCGTGTGATCAAATGTATTGTACTGCTTTCCACGTGCCACGCTCTTGTTGTGCCAGGGTGGATCAACCACCACCAGCTTATATCGTCCAAGCTGGATACAATGAAGCTCTCGAACATCTCGCAGAGCAAAACTTGAACCAGGTGGCAACAAAACTTTCACGCCGTTCACTGTAGCAACTAGAACTCGATCTGTTCGATTGCAATGGACGTTTCCATCATCTAAAACGTCACTCGTCGACAGCACTGGCAACGCGCTCACCACATCTTCAAGTGTCGCGCCCGTCTCAGCCTGATCATCAAAATCCGGTAAAAACGCCCGCAGCTCAAAGCGAGAGCCACCAAAACGTGCGAACGCGAGTTTTAGAGCATCTCGCACTTGGTCCTGCAGTGGGACGAATTTTCTCTGTGCTATGAGGTTTTCCAAAAGTTTTGCTCGACGTCGACGTGCAGATTCTCGCTTACGTTGACGTCTTGCAGACGTTGACGAGGAACTTGGTGCAGAAGGTGGTTGAATGTAGGCACCGGGTGCGATCTGCAGCGAATCTTGTCGTAGACAGAGAAAACCTTGATAATAGGTGTTGATGAAGGTTGCATGGTTGATACGTGAGACCTTGGGCTCCATTCATCCAGTTTTTACTTACGCGCTACTTTCCTGTCAATGCATACTTTTTACACATACACAACATCCGCCGAAGCATTAATGGATTATATCAGTACTGACTGAAGTGAAGGGTTATCGGAAGTACAGATGGCTGTTTGCACGCGAACAGACGTTGTGGGATGGACGAGGAATGTGAGTCATAAAGTGAAGTGCAAGTTGTACAGCAGAGATTCCGGGTTCGGGAATGCATGATGCACACTGCGAAAGTGCAGAAACTTGAGTGCACGCCGGGCTATTTACATTAAGATCAAATGCGCATAGCGATGGGCATCACCGCATGAATTAGGTCGTGCTCTAACGTTGAGATTGCGTTTTCCATGTTGAATGTCATGTTGATGTGCGATAGTACCGAGTACGCACATTATACGCTAGCGTAAGGCAACACATGGGTTTTTTGCTGTGAACGCGTCAACTAATTAGGATCGTGTACGCCCATGATACTAAAATAACTACTTCACATTGCAATACGTCACTATGTCCACCGAGAAGCTGAAGCCTGCTCGACAACATTCCTGCTGCCGCCGTCTCTTGGAAGAGACGAATACGCAAGCTAGAGCTTGCTCAAGTAAGTTAATGTCCCAAAGATTCGGCTTCTACTGCCCACGGGAAGAGAACGGTGAGAATTTGACACTTTGGTTATCTCGACAGACCTACACAAAGTCTACTGGTTGAAAGGCTCAGGTAATGAGATTCCACTAACGTTTTCTTCAGGCGATGGGGACACTACATCCCCACTGCGACTCAGATGTCCCTATAGCATTCGTCACTGCCTTTCATTAATCAACTAGAAACAAGAACTAACTAAGCCGTCTCAGTGATCTTGGTGATAATATTACGTCGTCACAATACTCGAAAGTATATCAAGAGTAGCAAATATTTTGATACATCATCGACAGCACACCCCACAAATTCATACACATAAATTATTAGTTGGTCTCATCATACAAATGCCTCGAAATGCTCTTCACAATGGGAGTTCGAGCGGTCTCGGAGCACAGCAGAACGCAATGCAATAAGACACTCGTCGTCCTCAGACTCGTCATCTGTTGTGTAATCACTTGAGATAGGTTAATAAGGACACACATCCACTGGGGACTATACCAGGCGTAGGCAAGTTTTAGAATGACTGACCCATCGCAGTTATCAAAGGCCAAGTGGATCGATTGGTGGGGGGTTGCGTGGGTCAAAGTTCGTCGCAAACGCGTAATTACGCGATTATACTAGATTAAACTATCATCATTTAATCAGATCTCGTATAAATGGATGTCACGTAAAAAGACAGCCACCGCGAAAGTAGTGACCAGGAATTTATTGTGACTTTACGTGCAAATGCTGTGGCTATGGCTTTTTGCTGCTGGTAGTTGCTGCTAGTAAGTACCAGTGCGAATAACTCTCACTGTAAAATACACACGTGACGCTTGAAAACCGACCCCGCATCGTTGGATCGATGTTAATTCGGAGCCTGATTGCGAGAAGTCGGCACCAACAAGAACGAAATAGTGAATGTGAGCGGATTCGTACGTGTCATTGCCAAAATGCGCGCATGCTAGGATGCAGAATGATAAGAAGAACGCTTTGCATGTTCACCTAACATCCTACCTACATATACAAGGGTGTACAGCGTCGGTATGAACTCGATAGTATACACGCGGAAGTAAAGGAGCTAGTGGCAGCGCCTAACTAGGACCTTTAACATAAAGCTTACAGTCTTGCTGAGTGCCATCAAGCTCAACGCGACGTCGCACTGTGACCTCACCGAAACCAAATAGGCAAGCACTTTTGTTAGTATGTTGACGTACCAACGTCGCTTCCAGTACTTAGCTCAAGCATCGGCTGAGTATATCATGGCCAAAATGTTATAAGGATACGACACTGTAGTGCTCTTTCGACGAGGTCCAGTCGCTTCCACTTAAACACAAAGTTCATTGCCATTGAAGTAACAAAACTTCTGTAGGAACGATACGGTTTGCGCTAAATGATCACTCACATTTGCCTTCACTTACATTTACAAGTTGTGCCCTCAAACCAGTTTTTATAAAAAGCTGTATTGACCAATCAAAGGACCCCGCTTGATTAACCAGCCTCTGTGAGCTCGATAGCTGACCGGGCATGACGGACGCGGATGTGTACGCGTACGAGCAGGAAATGGACGAGTGGGAGGCTGCGCATGCACTTGACATGGAAGCTGCAGACGAGGAGATGCATGCGCTGGGTTTTTTTGAGCAGGCTGAAGCCGCAGAGAGCCCGGAAACGAAGTCTATTCTAGTCGCTGTGGACCAGCTACCTCTAAATAGGAATAACGACACAACAGAGAGTGCGAACGATGTCGTGATCGCGACAGAAAGTCGATTGGATCAATTGCTGGCACGATGTGAGACATTTTTGGGCGAGGATGGAGACAGAGACGTGGTCCAAGTGTCTCGAGTAAAAAAGGACGTGGAGCTCAGTACGAAACGGACCTCTGTACCATCTCTGGACACTGCAGCAGCCACGTATCTTTACAGTCGTCCACCTGTTGATGTGGACTCTCTTTCTGTTGTGTTAAGCGATGGCAAACGGCTGTTCGTGCGCAAGAAACGACCGAGAACGACGACTTCTACTTCATTTGACGCGATCCGAACCACGACGACATCCCTTGTCCCTGTCAAAGAAATGATGGAGGCCGTGGAGAGGGTATGCTATTCATACGACATTTGCTACTGGTTGACTTGATGCTGGGTTACGACGATGTGTGTGTATGCGTGGGTGTGTTGGTATGCAGATGGAGATTAGTGAAGCAGCTTTGAAGGAGGAAGAGGCTTTGTTGCAGGAGCATAACGTTGTGTACAAAGATTCTGTCAACATGACGAACGCAGTTTTGTGGCTGGATAAGTACCGACCGCAGAGCTTTTTGGACCTTTTGAGCGATGAACGAACGAATCGCGAAGTTCTCACTTGGATCAAGTCGTGGGATCAATATGTGTTTCCAAAAAAAGAGCGTGTGAATAGCACTTCATCAGCTACCGCTACGACAAACGCTTACGGAAACTCGAGTACAACTTCGTGGAACCACGCTGCTGCAAACACTCACGCCAGCGGCAGTACAGGGGTCGAGGACGAGGAAGATAAGCGACCGTTTCACAAAATCATCCTGATCTGTGGGCCGCCTGGAGCTGGTAAAACAACGTTGGCAAACATTGTTGCGCACCACGCTGGCTATAATCCTCTCGAAGTAAATGCAAGTGATGACCGAACAGCATCTGTATTGCGCAACAAGATTATCAGTGCTATGGAAATGCAATCAATTTGGGGCGAGTGTAAGCCTAATTGCATCATCCTTGACGAAATTGATGGTGCCATGAACGGCAGCGATGGCAAATCGGCCATTGAGGTGATTCAAGAGATTGTGAATGCTCCTCTAGCGAAGAAGAAAACAGGAGCAAAGATGTTAGCTAAAAATCGTCATCCGCTGACCCGTCCACTCATCTGTGTCTGCAATGACCTGTACGCTTCTGTGTTACGTCCACTGCGTCGGATAGCTAAGATTTTCACACTGGATGCACCACATCCGCAACGTCTCGTTACACGTCTGAAGCACATTTGTCGTCACGAGGGGATCAAAGCTTCTACAGGCGCGCTAGCAAATCTGTGCTCTAGCGCTGGCAACGATATCCGCTTTTGCTTGAATACGCTGCAATTCCAAAGTACTCAGTCGCGCGAAGCTGCGGCAAATAAATCGGCTCCAGTCGTGGCTTTCAGCTGTAGCCTTCTTGCGCAAAAAGATCATGCTCATGGCATGTTTGAGGCACTGAATCTTGTGTTTTACGAAGCGCGCTCAACATCAGCCAAAGGACAGATCCCTGCTATTGAGAAGATTATTGCAGCCGTGTCGTCGCTGGGCAATTCTTCCTTATTACTTAACGGTCTGGACGAGAACGTCCCAAAGATGATATTTAACGACCCCACCATGAGTAAAATATGCGACGTGTTCGAGTGGCTGGGTCTCGCAGACGAGTACGAGAACCGCGCCCATTCAGAGCAGCAACACGTGTTTCAAGCATATATTCCATTTGCTGCCATCGCGACACACGCGTCTTGCTGCACAAGCTCTAGGCGTCGTGTGGAGTATCCTCGAGCCCAATTCGAGGCTAAAAAGCGAAGCGATCATGCTGAGAATATACTTGGGGCACTAGTAGAAGGAGCACTGTTGCAACCAATTCTGCGATTGAGCCACGACGATCTCGTCGTTGATCTTGTACCATGGCTGCTTGCAATATTATCGCCTGGTCTTCGCCGCACCAATCCGTCGCTACAAACGAAGGAGGAAAAGGTCATGACCCATCGACTCATCCAGCTAATGACGTCATTGGGGCTGTCATTCCAGCACAAGTACTTACCCGATGGTAGTGAGGACTACGCACTTGAACCGTACGTGTTGGTGGTTCCTATTTGTAAAGCTTTGCGTCACCTCTCATGATTATACCTGATTGCTTTGTACAGACCACTGAACGAACTCGTGGAGTTCCGAAGCGATGAGACCAATGCAGCGTATCGATTCGTGCTTCCATTGCCTGTACGGAAGATGATTGCTCGAGAAGTGAACCTGGAGCAGATGCGTCGGAATGAAAGCACGGCTTCGACGAGGCGACATGGCAACAGCAATTCGGTTAGCAAGATGACTCACGTACCGAGCGAAGCCACTATCGAAGAGAAGGCTGCCAAAATCACCTACGCTTTGCCGGAACTCAGTGGTACGTTATCCCGTCTGCTTGGTCACAGCGCAAATCTGTACTTCTCACACTTGACTCGGTCCTGGTGTGCTAAACAACAGATATAGAGCAGGCGAAGAAAGACGAGGCTTTGCGCAAGCGAAATCCTTTTGCGTTCGCACATCGTGAAGCTAAACGCAAGCGCGATGAGGAGTCGGATGCAAAACTGAAGCGACAGCACACCGCCGCTGCTCATGTGCATTCCATGGTGCGCTACAAGTACAACGAAGGCTACACGTGCGGCATCAAGACAACAGTGTACGTTCGAGATTTACTATAACTGCACGGACGGACCAACCAATCACCCGACTGACGAATGGACCAAGTATTGCAATGCGAGAAACCACGCACGTAAATACCCGTGGATGTATTGTCTCCTCTCCGTGAGTCGGCACCAACACCAGGTGCAAAGGCGCTACTTCTTGGCTGCTTTCTTCTTCTTCTTCGAATGCGTTTTCTTGTTGCCACCTTGATTCCCAGGTGCCGGCGTCTCTGCAAGCTGCGACGGAGAAGAGAGCAACGCTGTCGTAGGTGCTGGCAGTGCCTTCATAGCGCCCAGAACCTCTTGCATGACAAACCGTAGCAGTCGCGTCAGTCGGGACAAGTTGGTCATGTCCGACGTGACATACTTGACCGCCTCGTTTCGTTTTGCAGCATTCAAAGGCGACGATGACGTAGATTTCGTATGCTGGTGCGACACGCGTGCTGTCACCTTGACGTTCCTAGTGGCCATCACGCGCGTCTTGAAGAAAAAACGCGAGTGCAGTGGATCTCTCACAAACGCGAGCTTGGTCTGCTCTTCGAAGCGCTCCCAGACCACATTACCACTACTCGCCATGGTGGATTGGTCGACTGAAGAGCTCACTTGATCGGGAGAATAACGACTTGTGATTGGCGGTTTGGTTTTGGCTTGTGCAGGTGACTAGGAGTGTAGCCATTGTTGCAATGCTCGACGATTGGTCGTGCAGCGTGTCGTGCTGACTGTATGGATACAGTTGTCACGCGTGACGAAATGATTATGCTCAGGGAAGTTTGTGCGAACTGATCCATTGACTCGAGATGACAATCGAGTTACCAATCAGGATTACGATTGGACAGGTGTAGCAAAGCTGTAGATGTTGACCGGAACGTGTGAATACGACGGTGTTGATGGTGCCCACGATTTGTTACGACGCGCAAGACACGAGTCAATTTGGTTCCTGACACATTGACGATGTACCTGCTGAGCTTCCGTAGTGATTCTGATGCGAACATGCAGCCAGTCGTGTGTGCGCGTGAAGTACACTTGCAAGAGCAAAGAAAACATGTGAGTTAGTGTTGTGAGTGTTGGCGCCATCTCAACGTCGCATGCACTGAAGGAGCATTGCATATCTTGTATTTTTATGACAGCACGCTTCGATGTCTATGAAGCCTGCTCTCTTTGGGCCGTCAAGTGATGATTTGAGAATATATCGCCAAGGTGCTTCATCTTTGGGGTGAATGATAAGAATGGAGGGCAGTTGATCTGGTTGACTGTCAATACGGTTTTAGCTCGCCATGTAATGTGTTCATCCCTTCGAAAGCGAAGATCGTAATGTGTCGTGCAACTCGCTTCGTCATTTTTATGAGTAGCAGTTGCTAGGCACAGATATGCGTACAGAAATGTGTGAAAGCCTAAATACATAGCGTTACTTTTGAAACACATCACGCACAATTGCAGTACGACAAAGGATGTGCTTGTTAAAGCAAAGGCAAGTAAGCAAGATTAACAACTCATGATGGTAAGCGAACTCCAAACATAGGCGATTCGATAGCCGCAGCGCAGCGATCTGACGCACAAGTTCTTATATGCAAGCACGTATTCGATACGACAAACAGAATACGAGAAGGTGAGCTGCAAGTAGATTAAATATGTGGTTGGCATTCAGCATGTCGGTCTTAATGGAGAAGAAATGGCTATAAAGGAGGGCTTCCAGCACGATAAATCTCGGAAGTCGGGGTACTGGTCAACTGCACCTGTGTAATTAGTCCAGAATTACGCAAAATACGCTCAATGTGCAGACAACTCAATAGAGAATACAGTTAAATAGTATTGCTGATCATCATTAACAACTGGACAATAAGCAGAATTGGCAAGAAGAAAGAGGGCGTTCCAAGAATGACAGTTGGCAAATACGATTCTCGCTGTAAACACCGAAACAGAATTTGGCCACATATGACGATTCAAGCAAAGGCAAAAACGGGAAAGCGCTGGGAGTAAGACTACACAGTTGCGGCTGCCTCGAACATAGTGCACCTAGAAAGGAACTGGATATCCAAGATGTTAAAAAAAAACTACTGAGCAGTGTTCGCATAACTCACTTTGTGGGTATAATGCAATCGCGTAACATTTTTATTGCGGGCACCGCCAACAAGGCGGCAGTATGAATATCTGGGAAGTAGGCATCAGCAATCCCGGACTGTAGCAAGCAAACGAACCGGCATGTCGGCACGAAAATACAAAGAGCACCTACTGTTGTGCATTTGAGCTGTCGTACCGGAGTGTAATGGTCAGACACTACTAGTAAGAGCCTTCATTCAGGGCAACAACCTCCTAACAATTACCGGAATCGCGCAAGAGTATCCATCGATGCGAACTAGGCTAAGGGTATGTATCAGTGATTCTGCAACGATTAAAAAGTGGTGGACACTTCTGTCTTGCTCGACTGTTCCTACGTTACAAGAATTGTGAAGCTGCAGTCGTAGCACCTAAGGCAATCCTACAAGCGTTGTCCTGCTCAACGTCCAGCGGTCACCAATGAGTTAGTTATCGACTCTGAAATAAGCGACAAGCTCAGCACAGGTGACTTAGTGAGCTATTCAGACGATAGTCGGACAAACACAAGGCAACAATCCCATAACCAACCTACCCACCGAATTAACCAGCAACTCTCCGTCTCTCCTCTCTTTAAACTGAATAACTTTCTGTCCGTTGGTTTTCCCCGTCTTCCCAGACTCCATACTCGAACTCGTAACCGGACACTCCTTCTTTTCCGGATCCTTCCCTTCATCCAATCATCGCGCGTCCTGAGGTTCTATCTTCGCCAATCGTCGCGTCCCGACCTTTTCTACCAAGAAACGCCCCCCCTCCTCCTCCTCCTCCTCTCCCCAGTCCGCTCACTTGTGAAATCTCCACCTAGTGAGCAAGAGCTCTTTGTGGTCTTTTCGAGCACAGAGTGTTGGTCAGTGCAACCACCCACTCGGCCGCGTTCTACCGCCCCCATCTTACCGTCTACCCTAGACGTCCCCCCTCCCTACTCTCTATCAATCCGCCTTCGCCGTAAACCCACGCACCCGTGCTTCCGCCATGTCGTCCACCCAATTCTCGTACTCGAGCGCCCGTCTGCGTCGCGTCAAGTACCTCCAGTTCGGCGTCTTTAGCCCCGAAGAGATCCGCGCCATGTCCGTGACGAAACAGACGAAAGTCAACGACCGCCTCATTCCCGACGGCATCTCCCGCCCAGAAACGTACTTAAACGGACACCCTGTCATCGGCGGGATAGGGGACCCCCGCATGGGCACGTGCGACTTTCGCGCACGCTGTAAAACCTGCGACTGTACGTTGTTGTCGATGTACTGAGATTAGGAGAAATTCTGCTGACGCGCTTTGTATTTTGTGTCCGTCTCTCTCTCTCTCTTTGTCTTGTTCTTGGTATAGGCACGTACAGTGGCAGTGGTGGCAAGGTGAATGACTGTCCAGGCCACTTTGGGCACATTGAGCTGGCCCGTCCCATGTTCCACATGGGGTTTATGAAGGAAGTGCTAAAGATCTTGCGTTCAGTGTGTTTTCACTGCTCTAAAGTACTGAGCGATGAGCGTGATCATCGTTTTCGGTCTGCTATGAAGATCAAGAACGGCAAACGTCGACTGAAGGCCGTGTACGAGATCTGCAGTAACAAGAGTATGTGTGAGTACGGTGAGGAGGCAGATATGGAGAAAATGCGTGAGGATTTGAATATTGGTCTACAAGGCGGACTGGACGATAAGTCCAAGCCAAAAGAGGGTGGCCACGGAGGTTGTGGCGGTCTTCAGCCAAAATATCGCAAACAGGGCATTAAGCTACTGGTAGAGTTTCCCGAACAGATGGAAGATGTACCTGGATCTGGAGATCGCAAGCAGAACCTGCCTGCGGCAAAGGTGATGTCGATTTTCAAGAACATTTCAGACCACGACTGTTATGCACTTGGGTTAGACCCGCGTTGGGCTCGTCCAGACTGGCTCATCATGACGCTCATGCCGGTGCCGCCGCCTCACGTCCGCCCTTCCGTGGCTATTGACGGCATGGCGCGTGGTGAAGATGATCTTACCCACAATCTGGCTTCGATAGTTAAGGCGAACTTGGCTCTGCTGAATTGCGTGCGCAAAGGTGAGCCATCGCACATTATTGAGCAGTTTGAGCAACTGTTGCAGTTCCATCTGGCAACGTTTCTTAACAACGAGCAGCCTGGACTTCCACAAGCCCAACAGCGGTCCGGCAAACCCCTGAAAACGTTGCGGCAACGCCTGCGTGGCAAAGAGGGTCGTATCCGTGGAAACTTGATGGGTAAGCGTGTGGACTTTTCGGCGCGTACGGTTATCACCGCTGACCCGAACATTGCTATCGATCAAGTCGGCGTTCCACGGTCGATTGCAATGAACTTGACTGTACCCGAACGAGTGACGCCGTTTAACATGAACTACATGCACCAACTGATTGCCAATGGTCCGCTGGAGCATCCAGGAGCAAAGTACATCATTCGTGAGGACGGTAATCGTATCGATTTGCGATACATAAAGAACAAGTCGGATCTCGCGCTGAAGTGCGGTTGGATCGTGGAGCGTCATCTTCGTGACGATGATCTCGTGCTTTTCAATCGTCAGCCTTCTTTGCACAAGATGTCGATCATGTCGCACCGCGTGAAGGTGTTCGACTGGTCGACGTTTCGTTTAAACCTTTCCGTGACGTCGCCTTACAACGCCGATTTTGACGGTGATGAGATGAATTTACACGTGCCTCAGTCAATGACTGCACGTGCTGATGCGCAAGAGTTGATGATGGTGCACAAGGTGATCATCACACCGCAGGGTAATCGTCCGGTTATGGGTATTGTACAAGATTCATTGCTGGGTGCGCAGAAGTTTACTAAGCGAGATATTTTTGTGAGCAAAGACTGGGTAATGAACATGCTGATGTGGGTGTCAAACTGGGACGGCAAGGTACCGACACCAGCGATTCTGGTTCCGAAGAAGGGAGAGCTGGGCAAGTACACTCCAATCTGGACAGGCAAGCAGCTGTTTTCTACAATCATCCCGGCGGTTAACTTTACCGGGTTTTCATCTACACATAAAAGCAGTGAGAAGTTTTCGGACTTGTCTCCTATCGATTCTCGCGTAATCATTCAACAGGGTGAGCTGTTAGCTGGTATCGTTGACAAGAAGATTATCGGTTCATCAGCAGGTGGTTTGATTCACATCACGATGCTCGAGAAGGGTCCTGAAGAAACGAAGCGCCTTCTTGGTGCCATTCAGCAACTTGTAAACTGCTGGCTGGCCGGTCGTAGTTTCACTGTCGGCGTGAGCGATACGATTGCTGATGTATCTACTCTTAAGACTATTGTCGATATCATTACGCAAGCCAAAGTGCAAGTGCACGATTTGGTAGTACGTGGACAAAAGGGAAAACTGGAGACGCAGCCTGGACGAACAATGGTCGAGTCATTTGAAGGTCTGGTGAACATCGTGTTGAACACTGCTCGTGACCAGGCCGGTCGCGAAGCACAGGGTAGTCTCGACGAGACGAACAACATTAAGGCTACGGTGACGTCCGGTTCGAAAGGTTCTTTCATCAACATTTCTCAGATTATTGCCTGTGTGGGTCAGCAAAATGTCGAGGGAAAGCGCATACCGTACGGTTTCAATCATCGCACGCTGCCGCACTATGGGAAAGATGATTTAGGACCTGAGAGTCGTGGCTTCGTGGAGAATTCCTACTTGAAGGGTTTGACACCACAGGAGTTCTTTTTCCACGCCATGGGTGGTCGCGAAGGTTTGATTGATACTGCTGTGAAGACTGCCGAGACCGGCTACATTCAGCGACGACTTGTAAAGGCAATGGAGTCGGTGATGACGAGATACGATGGTACAGTCCGTAATGCACAAGGCGAAATTATCCAGTTCCTGTACGGCGAGGACGGCATGGATGCCGTGTGGGTCGAGAAGCAAAGGTTTGAGTCGCACAAGTTGAACAAAGTTCAGTTTGAGAAGAAGTACGCCTTTGATCCGTCTGACGAGAACCTGGGCTGTATGCCAAACTGCCCTGATCAGCTGTACCTCGAACCTGACATTATCAAGGACATCCGGACCAATCAGCGAACACAACAACTTTTGAGAGAAGAGCAGGTGCAGCTACAGAAGGACCGCGTGAACCTTCGCGTCATTTTGGCAAGTCGTGGGCAGGGACAAGAGTCGGATAACGCCGCTCAGATTCCTGTGAACATCCGACGTCTTGTGGAAAATGCACAGCAGCTGTTCAGCATCGACGTTCGTAAGCCGTCTAGCCTTCACCCGTCCCGTATTATCGAGGGTGTGAAGGACTTGTGCAAAAAGATTATAGTTGTGCAGGGCGAGGATCAGCTGAGTGTTGAGGCCCAGGAGAACGCAACGCTATTCTTCCAGATCTTGTTGCGGTCAACCCTGGCGTCGAAATGCGTTACGCTTGAGCACCACCTCACAGAGACGGCGTTCGAGTGGCTCATGGGTGAGATCGAATCCAAATTTACGAGTGCGTTGGTATCTGCTGGAGAGATGGCTGGTGTTGTCGGTGCACAGTCTATTGGAGAGCCGGCAACGCAGATGACTCTGAACACGTTCCACTACGCCGGTGTGTCTGCTAAGAATGTGACGCTTGGTGTGCCCCGCTTGAAAGAAATTATGAATATTGCAAAGGTTGTGCGGACTCCATCGCTTCGCATCTTTCTGACACCAGATTGCGCACACGATGCAGACAAGGCTAAGTTTATTCAGTCGCAATTAGAATACACGACCTTGGCCGATGTGACAGCGAACACTTCCATTTACTACGATCCAGACCCGATGAATACGGTGGTCGAGGAGGACCAGGAGTTCGTGGCTTCGTATTACGAGATGCCTGACGAGGACACCCCGATCGCTCGCTCTCCCTGGCTTTTGCGTATCGAGTTGAACCCAAAGATGATGGCTGACAAGAAGTTGACGATGAGCGAAATTGCTTCCCAAGTAGAATCCGAATACGGTCAAGATCTTTCGTGTATTTTTACTGACGACAACGCTGATCGTTTGGTGCTGCGCATCCGCATTATGAGCGATGAAGAGGAGAAGCTACAACGGTCAGGCGAGACTGCCGTTGGACAGGAAGACGACACGTTTCTGAAGCGCGTGGAGCACAACATGCTTACACAGATGAAGTTGCGTGGTATTGAGGGTGTGAGAAAGGTATACATTCGTGAAGGACCGTCAACACATTGGTTCGACGATGTTGGTTTCAAGATGATGAATGAGTGGATGCTGGATACGGATGGTACGAACCTTCTTGATGTTATGTGCTACCCACAGGTCGACTCGACCCGGACAATTTCGAATGATATTGTAGAAATCATTCAGGTGCTGGGCATTGAGGCTGTTCGCCGAGCACTGTTGAACGAGATTCGTCAGGTGATTTCTTTCGATGGCGCGTATGTCAATTACCGGCATTTGGCGTGTCTATGTGATGTGATGACCTTCCGTGGCCACCTTATGGCTATCACTCGTCACGGCATTAACCGTGATGATTCTGGTCCGTTGGTCCGCTGTTCGTTTGAGGAGACGGTGGAAATTCTAATGGATGCCGCGATGTTTTCTGAGGGGGACCCGTTGACGGGTGTATCGGAGAACGTGATGCTCGGACAGTTGGCTCCACTCGGTACGGGTGTCATGGATTTGGTGCTCGACGCGAAGAAGCTTGCGAATGCGATTGAGTACGAGGCGTCAGAGATCCAGCAGGTGATGCAAGGACTCGACAACGAATGGAGAAGCCCCTGACCAGAGTTTGGGCACACCTATGGCGACCCCGTTCGCATCGACACCCGGTTTTTCTGCATCATCCCCATTCAGTCCTGGTGGCGGCTCTTTTTCGCCAGCGGCTGGTGCTTTTTCACCCATGGCAAGCCCGGCATCTCCTGGTTTTATGGTGGGCTCACCTGCACACAGTCCTGCGTCCCCGTTGAACCCGGCGTCGCCTGCTTACAGCCCGATGTCTCCAGCGTACAGCCCGACTTCTCCAGCGTACAGCCCCACATCGCCAGCGTACAGCCCGACATCTCCTGCGTACTCACCGACGTCCCCAGCGTACAGTCCGACGTCGCCAGCATATTCACCGACCTCACCGGCGTACAGCCCTACGTCCCCGGCGTACAGTCCGACGTCTCCTGCTTATAGTCCGACGTCTCCCGCCTACAGTCCGACATCCCCGGCGTACTCACCGACGTCTCCTGCTTACAGCCCGACATCGCCTGCGTACTCGCCAACGTCGCCTGCTTATAGCCCGACGTCGCCTGCGTACAGTCCGACTTCACCTGCGTACAGTCCGACGTCTCCTGCGTACAGCCCCACGTCGCCTGCGTACAGCCCGACTTCTCCTGCATACAGTCCGACCAGCCCGGCTTACAGTCCCACCTCGCCGGCTTACACTCCCGCGTATTCGCCTACGTCTCCAGCGTACAGTCCGACATCACCGGCCTACTCACCGACATCGCCTGCGTATTCGCCAACGTCGCCAGCTTACTCGCCGACATCACCGGCGTACAGTCCGACGTCACCTGCTTATTCGCCGACATCTCCCGCGTACAGCCCGACGTCGCCTAGCTACAGTCCAGCGTCTCCTGAGTACAATCCGATGGAAGGCTACAACCCGACTGCTAGTGGCTACAGCCCGACCGATGCCGATGAGAAGAGGGATGGAGGTGATGCGTAGTGACCATGTCGAGTGCTCATGTCCAGCAAACAAGCAAGGAAGATATTACAGAAAAGCTGGGAGAAATGAGTGAGTTGTAGGTTTCAATTAGAAGGCGGCGAACTCATGAACACGCGTCTGTCTACTTTTGTGTGATGCAGGTGTACGTGTATTGACGATAACGATATTCCAACAAAGAGCATTGATATTTCTGATGTCGTGGCTCCCTCACACTTGGCAACGGTGGATGCCGAGCGGCATACACAAGTCTCTTCGCGTGCCTGGTTTGCACACGTTCGATCACTATTCAGTGACCGCGATGAGGGCCATGAGTCCAATTCCAGCACACATGGCAGCCCCCTCTTTGAGCGACTGAGCGAGTGAGCAGTCTGACAATAGTTCCGGCATGACGCTAGCACACGCGATGTAAGTGAAGCCGCCCGCCGTAAACGGAGAGATCCACGCCGAGCTAGAATCGCCAGCACCTTCCACCAACAAACCAACGACCGTACCAATCATGGCTCCAACGGCAGTCAGTAGCTGCGTGGCCATCGCTTCACGTCGCGTGAAGCCCGACTGGATAAGGATGGCAAAGTCGCCAATCTCATGTGGCAGTTCGTGTAACAGCATCGCCACTGTTGTCGTCCAGCCATTACCGCGGACAAATGTCGCGCCAATCGCCAATCCATCCGTGAAATTATGCGAGAAATCTGCCGCCAAATTCAGATAAGCAGCAGCGGCAACCGGCTTCTTCTCCAGCTCCGGTACAACCACCGTTTCGTCATCCGGCGTGTCCGAATCATCCTTTCCTTCCTTGAACTGCGAGCGCTTTCGCGCCGTAGTAGTCTTCCCCGACAATGCACATCCATCTTGAACAGACGCAGAAGAATGAGCGTGTCCGTGCGAGTGTCCGCCACCCCCACTGCTCTGTGCTCGTACAAACTTCTCCAGCATCAGGAAGCTCAGTATCCCAGCAAGCGTCCACAACCACACGTACAAATCAGCCACCGAATGGGGATGACCATGACCTTCATGACCATGGTTATGACCGTGGTCATGGTTATGGTCATGGTTATGTTTATGGTCATGGGTACTCCCATCTGTATTAGGAAGAGAGTGGGGGAGCAGATGAAGCAGCGCGTCGCCCAGCAATCCACCGGCTGCAAAGCTCAGAAACACGCGCAGTAGCGGCTGTTGCTTGTCGTGGCTCCCCATACCCAGCGGCACTGCCAGCAGCACGAGCACCGGAGCTGTTCCCACAAGTGCCGTGGCCAGCAGCGCTTGGCTCCACACTCCGATCGAGAATCTTCCAGGTGTTTCATGCTTGATATTAGGTTCGTGGTCATGGTCATGGTCGTGATTGGCAGTACTGGGCACGTGTCTATAGCGCTCGCTGGTCAAGACCGCAGGCGTCACTGGCAGCTCCTCATCTTCAGCGGTCGAGAGGAGCGATAGGCTCAGAATAGCGACGCAGAGCAGCAGCACGTGGGGGCGACGTGGCCACTCGCTCATCTTCGAGGAAGTGCGGACGACCCTGCTGTTGGATTGGATGGAATTAGCGTCTGTTTCAGCCAATCACAATCGAATGTGACAAGAGGTCGGCGTATTGCAATTATGACAATAGCAGAGAGCACATGGGGCGAGGAGTGATGGCAAGCCGTGTGCTGTTTGTCGTCAATGTCGCCCTGAGTGTTCTTATGGACTCAAGTTTTACTGCGAGTTCTGTCTGCATCGCTACTGTCTAGAGGTCATTGTTGATTTTGGCACTTTTCATTGAGCGGTGCTGTACGCATTGCTGGGAATCGTTCCGTACCGCTTCTTTCTTTGTGCAATATCATCGTAGCGGCTCTGTCCAACAACTAGACACAAGTGCAGACAAACGTGCCGATTCGCTGAGTGATATCCTCTTGTCGCCTCATGGCGTATCTAAGATGCGTGTCTCTTGCAGGCGTGACCAGTCTGACACAGGCTTTGTTGCATGCATATGCGATATCTCAAACAAGTCGAACTATCCTTCAGCTCGTTGTCCGTTTGACTCGATTTAGATCACCTGTGTGAGGCAAAGGAATGGCGTCTCCTCGGGAGCAAGCCCCTGATCGACGTTGAGAAGACGTTCTTTACCGGTGGTGTATGCAACACGTCTGCGCACAATATCGATCGAATGCTCCATCATGATGGACCAGTATCATGATATTGAGAACTTTACGAGCAGTCGCAGGTGTTGCAGTGGGAGGATCTCTCTGTGCAGAGCTCTGAACTTTCATTACTTCCCTCCTGCTTTTCGGGAAGCACATCTCGAGATATCGCGAAACTGTTGCAATCGAGACTTCCAGTTTCTTTGCGTCCAGAGCATGTTGAGGACCGACGGCGTAGAAACATGACAGCCGCCATTGCCAGGGAATCCAGGACGAGAGAAAAATGTCGATCTGGCTGGATCTTGCCGTAAAAGACTCCGTCTTAGAGCTAGAGTCTCAACGCCGCTTGTCAATACATGCTCAACTAATTTGTCACCCCGGAGCTCAACTTTCACATCAAGCGCCAGCTCACCACAAAGCACAGATGCACGTGCTAATCGCGAGCCCAAAGGGTGAAGCTATTAGGGAGTGTGCGCAAAGTTGAATGCCGAGCTTCTAAATCGTACGTATCTGTCTGTGTGTGTCTGTGAATAACACAGTTAGGTGTAGCTTGCACGTATGAAGTGCGAGCTTCAGACTCCTCCTTCAGAGACTGCTGCTGTTGTATAGTATCTTTCAACTTGATTCAGGTCGATCAACTGGATTACTGATACCAAAGGGCGAGCTCCAGAGCTTGCTCGTCTACCTTATTCATACACGACGACTGCGTCTTAGCTTCCTTTTATAGGGATAGTACGGGTCGTCTATCGCACACCTCGATCAGTTTCGAAGGAGCTGTTCCTTCACAAGAATTGCATACCTGTAGATACCTGCTTCTGCAGTAGAAAGCGTCGCTCCACTGAGATTAGAGATATTGCTACCCGGGTCCCCTACCTACAGTCCACCATCTCATCATGTGCCATTGAATCCACCTCCGTCGGCATTTACCAGTCAAGTCCAAATGGCTGGCCATTACGAGATGATGAAGTCGAAAGAGCGCCACTGCACGAGCTCCACCAGTCATTGTCCCATTCATTGTCAAGCGCAGCGATCGCATTTCGCACCCGAAAGATCCGGTTCACTCGACTTCACTCACCTGCAGTGGCGATGGCCGGTCCAGACTCAACTAGTCTGCATGTCAGTGGTATTACCACAGTGCCCATCTCGGTCTGCATCCCGACACTTCAGCGACGACGACGACGACGACAGCTGTCTGCTGCTCCCTCACATCAGGTCTCGAGCGAGCACTGCCCGGTCGAATGAGCTCATCATTTCTTGATTAGCCGCAGGAGCGCCAGGAGCGTGACGAGATACACGCACACTCTCTAGCACTCCGCCCTACTTTACGGGTTCAACTCTGCCTCTGCCATCATGATGTCACTGCTCGCCCAACCGCTGTCGCCTCGGACCAGTAGTACCCTCCTCTACGATGTCTATGACAGCGTCGTCGGCACGTCGCAGACTTCATCGACGTCAACAACCGTCAAGGATCGACCTTTTGTGTGCGACGAACCTGGCTGCGGCCGTCGGTTCAACCGCAAGTTCACGCTCAGTGAGCACATGAAGACCCACACGGGCGAAAAGCCCTACGTGTGTCCACTGCCCGAGTGCAGTCGACGCTTTAGCACGTCGGGGAACCTGTCGCGGCACAAGCGTCTACATGCGTCTCTCAAGCCTTTCGAGTGCGACATCAATGGCTGCCAGCGCTCGTTTCCAAACCAGGAGAAACTCGAGCACCATATGAAGATCCACACGGGACGACTGACGCACATGTGCAGTGCATTGGGCTGTACCAAGACGTTTAGTACGGCTGGGAACCTCACGCGTCACGTGAAAACCCGTCACCCCGAGCTCGTTCGACAACCTTCTTCCTCGCTGCCCCGCCACCCTCGTCCCGCGTATCACCATCGCCCCGTGGCGCATCACATTCGGATCCCTTCGCCTCATCTGACGACGACCATTGAGCTTTCGAAAAGACTCGGGGCTTCGATCCCTCCCGTCTATTCACCCGACTCGGTCGAGTTGTCGTCGTTCCACGACGAGATGGCGGCGTTTCACACGACGGATGGACCGCCGTTCGAGGTTTTGATGGCGAGGCCGCGGGAGACGGACCCGAGGATGGTCGCATTGGATCCGACCGTGGGGGACGTCAACCGCTGTAGTATGAGCGTACTGGACGAGCTGATTGAGTTCGAACTCACGAAGAATGTCTGAGAGAAGTGGCCGTGTGTAGTAGATCTCTAGTTAAGTAAAAATTGTGCTCACCGTGGCGCATTCATTGTCACTTCTCTTTGGATCGGCGATCGACCTCATCTCTTGTTCGTCATGCTGCTCGCTACTAATGCTGTCTCCTGACCAGCTGGGTTGACTGAACAGTATAGTGACACGGAAGGCTCTAGCAACTCTAACGTCATGGATCGCAAGAGCTGATGTGGGACAGATCCAACTAAGCGGCCAGTCCCGTTTCAACCACGTTGCTGCATTCGCCCTCTGCTTTATCACCGTGAAGCAGAAACACCGTCGGTATTGCACCGATGTCATTGAGATCGATTTTACATTACTGGAACCTGCAGGGCGTGATGTTCCAAGGTGCATTAGCGTTTGAGCTGACAAGCTCTTTCTGCGTACAGCCTGATGTGATCCCGCTCTTTTCCTTGACTTCAAGCTGCTTCTGGAGCTGGCAGGTTTCGTCGTGGTGACTTTCTTCAACGCTTACGGCGCAGTTGACGTAGCTGTGGGATACGACCGAGTCGGATGTTTTAGATCATCTGGTCATGACCACAACATCTGCAGCAGGAGCTCCTGGCTCTAGACATTACACAAGTGAAGTGATACAGTCCCTTCTCTCTCGACGACTGGCTGAACATAAACAATGACATGGAGTCCGTCGACACTAATTGTCTCAGACCTGTCCGTGTAGGAAGCTCAAGCGCTAGGTGACCGACAGAATAGGCACATGCATAACACACCTTTGAGTTGATCTCGCCCACAGTAACTACACACGCGTCCTGCGTGGTGTCAGACGAGGTGGTTGCTACGAAATAAAGCGTCTGCAAAGTCATAGGGTGTTGGGATAACAAGCAGAGAGGCTACGCAGTACGCCTTTCCGGCAAATGTAGCGAGCTACTTGCAGGAACGCCGTGGGTGTGTTAATCAAGGAGCGGACGTGGTTTTGTCGGACCGAATCTCGCGCTCGCATTGATAGAGTCGGATTGCCATTTAAGCCCGATGCCAAGATTGTAGGTGCTTGCAGCGCTGATGCGGTAGCTGGCCAAATAAAAGATGGTGGGGTAAAATGCGAGCATGCGCACGTAAGTTCGATGTGGATAAGTAAAATGAGTCTACACGGAGTGTACTATTGCCATTGTTGCAGTCTATGGTGTAGTCATTTGACAAGGATGCCGTGAAACGGCTGGCGTGCGCACCGTTTTACAACCCACGACAGAGTTGCTACATTATTGTGACGTGTGCTTTCGATGGACTGTGCTGTGTTACATCCTACAAAGTGCTCTGTGAACGCTTTCGCCCTATTACTTGATACCCCCAACAAGTAAAGATGCTCAATCGCATCTAATGAATTTGCACCCAGGATCTAGTGTAGCATCTAGAAGAAACAGGGTAAATTCACCCATTCAGCAGTATTTTGTGCATCTCTCGACGATAGGTGGTCCCTTTGTTCTTGTCGCTGGGTATGAATTTTATGTATGCACAGCCACCGACCTATCTCCGCTCAACTGCCAGATGTCCAATTATCAAGTCTGGATAATGGTCTTCCACTACGAATGAGTCGATAAAGCCACTCTAAGCAATTGTGACGAATTACAATCCCGTAATCGTTTATCTACTGTGTCGTGAGTACTTGTTTTGCGCTTGTAACTGTTGATGTGTCTTCATGATTCGATCCTTTCTTTTTACCATTGTTGATAGCTGGTCATCTCGATTGGTATACGCTACGGTGACGACCCTGTCATCATATCATGCGACTCCGATCACATGCAGTGGGTCCGAGAAGGTAGTGTAAAATGAAGACATCATTCCACGCATGGGCAGTGGAGAAGTGGACGATGTAAATGTACATGCATATAAAGAGATGGGCGATATTCTGAACGAGCTGCAATGGAGAACCAGATACCGGAAGGCAACGCCAATGATGCTAGAGACTACAATACAAGCGACGACTTTGAAAACAACAACCGGGAGAATGCATGTATGCTTGCAATCGCTAGTTGTATCCACTAAGTTCGTGTCGAATTAATGCGATTTTTTACAGCCATTAATCACCAACGTATTAACGCTGGAGGTGTGACAAGAGCAATTGCCTGATGCACTTAGCTTTTTCAAGTATCACATATACGTTGTTCCGTTGTTCCGACTACTTCATTGTTAGGCGTGAGTAAATTGCATTCTCATGCATGTGGCAGGTGGACACATTGACGGGCTAGCGATAACTAGAAGAATAAAGACACGTTTGGGGCACCATGTTTGCCAGTATGATGCTTCATCACATCTATTCGGTAATATAATTCGTAATGCTACAGAAAAATACCACAAGATAACGAAAACATAAATATGTTAAGGCGTATACTATACGTAAGGCATGACTGAATCGAGTGCCGATCGTGACTCCAGGCCAAATGTTGATCATTTGTGTCGTGTCGAATGATATAAACAAGCACGCTGAAACGACTAATCTCAATTTTCGCTTGTGACAAGGCTCTCCTCAGCAGCTTTCGCGAGGATGGCCAAGTTCTGCGGCGCCAGGGAACATTGACATTAACACGGATGCCGTACATCGTATCTTTGTATTTGACGCTGACACGTAAAGTAGCTACTCTGACGATGCACTCTTATCCATATTCTGTACCCTGATACGTATATATGCCGTGTGCATAGCTTCGTATTCTTTGGTTGGTCTGACTCCCTTCCAGCTGTCGTTCAGTCGAATCAAGTGCCAACTCAGTTTGTGGGTAGCAAAAGTGCTTGTGGGTTGCTCGAGGAATTGTCCCGTCGTCCATTACCCAGACGTATTTTTGTAAGCAGATTGTCATTTTCGACGACTCAATCGCTGTAATATCACAACAACAAGACGATATCGGAAGGAGAAGTTCCTAGGACAAGGCCGTCACTGTTTTTTGCATGCACATCTAGACTGGCTATCACTTTACTAATGCAATCGTTTGTTCGGGTCACGTAAAAAAGTTTATGGTGAGTAAAAGGATTTCCCTGTTGGACTTTTTTTCACGCAATATGCAGGTCAAAAAGATGATTCCGTCGTGGATCTTGGCGTTCGGGCTAAAACCCTGTCACTAGCAAAATTGACATCCGTCTTTTTGTGTGCTTGTTTACCATTTAACAATGCACGTAATTGATCAAAAGTTTGCTTTTGAAGGCAAACTTGAGACTCAAGTTTTGTCATTCAAAACGTACAGTATGCGCCTTGGTACCAGTTTTTATTTTCGTTTTATAAAAAAATTTCAACTTCTGCATTGCTTCTGTATTAAAAGGTACGTTTTTAGTTTTCCGCATACTTTTCACTTAGAATCGATATCTTGCCACCCCTGTAAAAGTGTGATCGAATCCACTATACACAGCGCATCATTCCCAAATGCTCTTTCAGATGCCAACTTTCAGAACGGTTTATTATGATGTGGTGAAGTCGATCTCACAAAATTGCTTGTATGAGTGTCGATCTTTCACTTTCCCAGACTTGCCGACTCACGGAGGGGGTACTCCGATCCGTGCCTTGTTGTATGACCTTGTGCTCACCTTGTGTACCTGTCGGTTGGGCTGGCTTGAGCTCTTCGTAACGGCCTTGGGAGATGTCGATCTCGCTGAGAGGTTGGGTTGAGGGTTCGCTTCCGGTGCGGAAATCTTCACACCACGAACGGGGGTTCTGCGATCCCGATCTTGGATCGCACCGATCTTGATTTGTCTTCGAGATCGGGGTCTTTGCTGTGCGGAAATCTTCACTCAGCAAATAAAAGTCCTGCGTCGATCTTGCCTTGGGATCGGTCCGATCTGGTCTTGGGATCGGCCGATCTTGCCGGAAGTGCGCAATTTGGGTAGATCGGTGTCTTGTTTCGCCAAAATGAAACGTGCCGATCTGTCCAGGGGATCGCTTCGATCCTGCTCGGTCTTGTCTTGAACGCCTTGTCCAGATCTTCTGACCACTTGAGCCGTCTCGCGATCTTGTGTCCAAAATCCTTTTCCTTTTCCGTTGTGTGCTGCTACCCTAGCAGTTGAGTTGAGTGTGAGTACTTGATCGATCCGGGCCAGATATCCCGGGATCGCTCTTCTCGATCTTGGCCAACAATCCAAGATCGGTCTTCTGTGTCCCTGTAACACGCGTGCCTTAACCCGCCGGGGAAGCCAAATCAATCTTGCCTGGAGAAGAGGGGAGGATAACGTGCGTCGTGAGCAGAAGAAGTAGAGTTCAAGTCTGTTTATTAACCAACCAAATTACTATCCAACCTACCCTTAAGCCTATTCTTAACTATAGGTCACTCTTCAAACCGATATCGCCTTGAATCTGGATCGCCCCCTTGCCACGTGTCGAAATTTCGTGCCCTGTACTCCAATGATAGCGCCAATATCCCCGATATCGTACCTAGAGAACCCAATGGACCAAAATCTCCTATATGGTACCAAATACCCATTCTTGGCACCTAAGTACCCAATATATGACCCAAAATGCCGAATGTGTCCAAATTCACTTTGCGACGTCAATTCGGACAGCTTCCACTGGCTCTTTCGGCATGAAACTTCTTGATATCACTTAGTGACCTCTATCAAGTATATTCCACATGATACAGTATCTTCATCAACCATATATTCATGATCAGTGTGGAACATGACCGATCTGTCATCCAATATCGAGATGTTGGAGGTCGATCCGGTCTAAATCGGCAATTAACACTTTTTCATCTCCTCATACGTGCTTCAATATCATCCTCCAGTGTTATCCAATCGACAACTTCATTCATACGTCTCGACATCGGTTTCCTTGACTCCCCTGAGTATGCAAAACTTCCAGATCGGTGTATAATTAACCAAAACCAGTACTCCCAATTTAGGATCGGTAAAGAGTATCACCGATCCGTATAGTGTTGCACCTTCTTTGCCGATTCACCGACCCGTACCACCTGGTCCCAGATGCACTTTGGGGAGTCACCTTGTCCCAGATGTGTCAATTCTCCAACAAACCGTTGCCACAACATGTCGATCTGCGATCTGATCTTAGCCTGCTTCAATGTACGTATACTTCTTCTTGACCTGCATTCCAATGAGCTGTATGACTTCATCCCGACGTCTAGTTCCAGATCGCCCCATAACATTCTGCAAGATGTTACACCTTCGTCGCAGAGTCATATCCCATCACCCGGTCCCAGATCCTTGTCCCAGATTGTTCCATGTAAATCGTTCCAGATCGCTCCGTCCCAGGTCTATTCATACCCATTAGTCTAACGACAGTTGGATCGGTTCGACGAGCCCGTTAAGATCATATTCCACCTCCGTATTGGATCGCCGAGTCTCATGGCCTCCTTTTCCACCAGTAGCGGCGCTTTAAAGGTGTGGCCACCGATCCTCGTACAAAATTTGAGTAGTGACTTTGCCACAACCGCCCCCTGTACTGAAGTCTTTTGTACAGCAATTGACCTCAGTACAGTCACTCATCAACTTCGTTCCAAGCACTCAAGTCCGTCTCATGGCCTCTCCGACGCATCCACCCACCTCGCTGATCTCATCAGAAGGACCCACCATGTTTCTGTCTCCGGATCGCGACCTGTCGCCCGTATCTCCCGATCTCGGAGGACACACCCCAGCGGTCCCCGATCGACCTGGGTCTCCGCGCCATCTAGGCCCAACCGGATCGCCCACAATCCCCACAGGATCGCCAGATCGACAGCCAACCAGACCCTCGTCTCCATCCCGAGACTCGCCATCTAGATCGCCGGATCGCGGGTGGTATGCTCCTATCGTCCCCGATCAACATGAGTCTCTCAGTAATCCCAGATCGGTCGGATCACTCTCGACCGCCGCGGAATTATCAGATCGTTCCTCCGAGCCATTCCCGCTTCCCACTCCTCCGGCGGCCCCAGATGCGTCCAGATCCGACATCCCGGCCGCTAATGAATCTCGTGAAAGGTCTGCTCCAGCTGTGGGCGTCACCGGCTTCGTTCCCAGAGTTTCTGCCGACGACGTTCGTCTCACGATGGCCACGATCTCGTATTTGTGGGATCGAGAGGCTACCTTCTGCAGCCAAGCCGACACCATTCATGCGCTCCAGCAGTCCTACCGAGATGCCGTCGTCCGGGGAAATCGCTTACAAGACGAGCTTGATTCGCTGTACAGATCAGCCGCTCCTTTTGTCTCCTTCGTCCAGCGTCGATATGACTGGATGCAGGGCCGCTACGTCGATGCAGTGCATTCTTTGAGTGATTGCAATCGAGCTCTGCGGACATATCGAGATCAATCGGAGGAGATTCGTCGGCTACGCACTTTGATATGTGCCAACGACGAGGCTCAGGGGAACTTGGAACGACAGGTGGATGCTTTGAGGGCTCAGCTTCACTCGCTCCAAGCCGAACTCAATTCTCTCCGACAGCAGCGTGATCAGCTGCCCATGGACAGGTCCTTCCTTCACATAGATTTTTTGCACTTGAAGGAGCAATTGGCTCTGTCTCACGAGGAGATCGCAGATGGACTGTCTTCGATCAGCGATCTCATACAACAAGTGGATGGTTTGACTCCCCTAGAGGGTCAGTTGGCACTTTCGCAGGCGGAGAACGCCAACCTACGTCGTCAGCTTGCGGAACACCTCGAGATACACGACCAGTTGCAGGTGGTGGAGCATGATCGGGATCAGGCTATAGCTGAACACCGTGCTCTCCTCGACACACTGAACAGTGCTATACTCGGATCCCGGTCGTCTGCGTTGACCGCTCGATCGAATCCTAAGAGTGCTACTCCGGCCGGATTGCCCCCTGCTCCCACTACCCCGGGATCGAGATCGCTTGCCCAGATCGAGATCGTCCGGCCCGCCTGCCAAGCGTCGGCGTATTTAACCAAGGTCACGATCCAGTGATTCTTCCACCGCCCGTGTGGCTTCCCGGCTATTGTCGTTGAACCCTTCAATACCTTTAAACAAACTTCCCGGATTGGCCCCACCCGAGCCTCCACCCAATTCTTCTTGTTCTCCGCTTTCGTCCGCGGCTTCTGGGACTGGATCGGGAAGTGAGGAGCTGACCGAGTTGGATTCTAGCTCGGATGATTTGACTCGTGCTGCATTATCCCAATCGAGATCGGCCGCTCGTCGTCAACCTAGATCGGATGCCCGATCTTCGACCCCGAACCCCTCTCCGGCCGCTCGGGTTGTTCCCGCTTCTCCCGCAGCTACTGCGTTGGCTCAACCACTGTTGCGTTCGCCTTCTCCAGACGTCTCGGAGCCTCGTTATCTTTCGTACCCATCCACTCCGGTCGCGGCTGTCCCCGTAGTCGAAATTCAAGATGATGGCGGCGTAGAAGACGTGGAGGTATCGCCGACAGGGGAGACACACAGCGAGACTGGCTCTGTTAGTCCGCCTCCGGAGTCCACTGCGCTTTCGGATCGCCATTCGTCCGATAGCGAAAACAGCATCACCCTTCCGGCACGCCAAGTGGCTAACAGAGTTTTCTCTTCCGTTGACTTCGACAATCTTCCGCCACTCCAGCAACCACGGGATCGGTGGATTCCCAACTATCTGGCGCCCTCCCGACGGGTAGCTTCCGAGATCGCTCCATGGTCCGTTTCGCGGATCGCGATGGTTTGCGTGAGGACCATGACCATTGAGCTGTTGTTTCACCACTACTCCAAACCCAGGAATTTTCTGTTTCCCTTCTACAATCATGGACGAGCTCCGCCTACGGGGACTTGGGCTTCTGGGCTGATCTCGCGGCAACACATCGAGGCTCTTTACGCTACAGCCCCTTGGGATAATATCATAGTCCCAGTGAACCCGATATCGTTCACCATGACTGGATGGTATCGTGATATGAGTCATCGGTACCTGGAGCTTGAGTCCACTCATCGACAAGCTCTGTGGGAATCTACTCATGCTTTCCCGATTCCTCCGGCTCAACGGCGATCTGAACGGTTCATGCAGACATTCTGGCGCCAACGAAAACAACGCCGTTCTCGCTTTGGAGCGCGTTGGAAGAACTTCTTGAAGATGATACTCAGCGGCATGATCGCTGGCCACTGCGATCTCGACATCTTGCTAGATCCCTTCTTCCTCCACTATCCGCGCCCACATGAAGACCGAGTTTGGTATCCAGGGTTAGGACACTCTAACGACCCAGCTGACTTGCTAGAGGCGTTGGACATGGCAGACCAAGAGGATCCTTGGCGCAACCAGTTCCGTAACGCCTATTGGGATCATCCCGGATCGCAGATCCCTCGTCTGCAGGACAAGTTCAAACCTGCTCCATCGTCTTAGTCCAAGATCGATATCCAAGCCCGATCGTCTTTCATAATCGTGTAAGTCATTCAATCATCTTCTTTTTTGGTACTTCCATTCTTTGCAACTTCCACGATCTCGATCCTCCTCGCTCCACATCATTCAGGAAGGTAATTCACTTGACTATCTCCATACTCACATACAAAAACCTCATCCACCAGCAAGTGCTACCGTCTAGCACATCTTTCAACCCCTACATCCCCATATGCTACCTCCCGCATACTTGTTCGAACTGTTAAGGTTCGTCCGACTTGCCTTCATGAGACTGCATTACGTCGAAACGGTTTCGACTCACTCGGTTCCGCTCAAACTCTTGCAAGATCGCCCCACAACTTAGATCGGCCTCGTCCACCCAACTTAGATCGTGATATCCCTTCCACTTCACCAGAAACTGCCGGTGTACTCGCCCATAACGGGTTTTTCTACCAGATTGCACGTCCAATATTGCCTCTACTTCGTATTTCCCTTCTTCAAGATCGCCATCCCAACTGTCTTCTGGCAGCAGAGCTTCATCGAAATCCAAGCGATCTGATTCCTCTATCGTAAGCTGATCCTTCGGGCGTTCAGGGAACGTCTTTACCTTTTTTAGCTTCGATATATGTACAATCGGAAATAACCGATATGGGGTTCCAGCGATCTCCAATTTTACAGCATGATCTCCACATACGTCCGCAACTCGGAATGGCCCATGCCACATGTGCGCTAGCTTCTTCGCATATCCCTCTTTAACTCGGTCCAGGTATAGCCAAACTTGCGCTCCTACTTCGATCTCGTGTGGTTCCAGATCTTCGTTGTGTCGATCCGCTCGCTCCTGGATCGCGGCTTGTAAACGATCGTTCACTGCAGATCGGGCTCGCTGGTATTGTCTTTGGATTTTGTATCTCCACCTCTTTGGATCGCGATCTCGTGTCCCCGTATTCCCCACTGGTAGCGTAGCCTCCAAAGTCGATCGCGGGTCCCACCCATGAATCAGATAAAATGGGGTATCCCCCGGATCCGATCTTGTGCAGTGTTAATGGCAAATGTGAGCCGCTCAGCATACTCATCCCAGTCTCGCTGGTCAACTTCAGCCACGTACATCTTGAGCGAATGTGTCAGGGTTTGCACCATTCGTTCGGCTGTTCCATTTGCTTGTGGCCTGTAAGCCATAGTAGCACGCTGTTTTTGTCCTACGATCCGACTGAAGGCTCGAAAGAAGTCGGACATAAATCCCGGTTCTCGATCGTGCCTGATAGCCTCGCTAGCTCCGAAGCGTCGAAACACACATTCTTCGTAATTCTCCGCTATTGTTTGTGCCGTCCGAGAGGAGCTAGCCTTTGCAATCACATATCCCGAGAAAAGGTCGACCCAAATGAGCAGTTCGGTGTTCCCCTTGATGGACTTGGGCAACGACGGTATATGATCCATGGCGATGATCTGGAATGGATAGGTTGCGTGTAGATTGCCCGGGGATTTCCCATGAATCATCGGGTTTCCTTTCCCGGTCTCACAGTCGGTACATTCGCCCACATATCGTTGAACGCTCCGATACAGTCCTCTCCAATGAAATCGCGATCTGATCCTCTGATAGGTTCGGCCAATACCCTGATGGCCTCCTTCCAGACTCGTGTGATAGTGATGCAAAAAATCCTGCTGCAACGTCTCAGGGATCACCAACCGCATCAAACCATCGCGATCTTCCGACTCTCTTTTCGCCATGGGGCAAAAAAATAGCAGATTGTTCTCATCGATCTCGTATTCCGGCGCCAGTTTGGCGCACATCTTCACTTCTACCGCATCCAAGTTTGATACATCGCCACTTAGATATGTCTTGAGATTGACAATCCAACGCTCTTCATCTTGAGCTTGGACAATTCGTTGAATCCTGATCCTCTGTACTATCTCCTCCTGTATCACTTCAGGTTCATGACGTATCCTCCTGGCTGATCTCGCGATCGCAGTTACCCGAGCTAGCTGACCATCTTGCTTGGGCTTCAACAATTCATCGAGACGGTTCAGAGTCATCAGATCTTGCCGATCCTCTTCAGCTACAACCGTTCTTCCCTTTTCGCTCTGCAATGCTGTGCTGGCTAGTCGATCTGCGCTCTGATTCCACTCTCGCTTCATATGCAGAAACTCGTGACTAGGCCATGACTGCAGCTTCTCCAACGCTTTGTGTCTCAGAAGCTGAAGGCCCGGTGCCTTGCAGTCGATCTCACCGCGCATCTGTCGAATCACCAGACTGGAATCTCCACACAGTATTACTCGCCCCCTATCCAGATCGGCGAGTAACTCAAAGCACAGTAGCAAGCCATTATACTCAGCTTCATTCACAGTCAGATCGTGAACATATCTCGATTCGGCCGCCACGATCGTCCATTCGGGTAACTTCCATATCACGGCACTGAACGACCCTCCTTTCTTTTTTATCCTAGCCGATCCATCGAAACTGGCCACCAGCAACTCCTCATCTGTTTCCACCGTTGGAGGAGGCATCGATATTTTGAGTCGACAGTCTTTTCGTGGGGAGATCGCAATCAGCATCTCTTCCACCTCTCCTCTCGGAGTGATACTCGCTGCTAACATGCCCAGGATCTCTTCCTCTCCTCTTTCACATTTCTTCACCTCCATAGTCCAATTTGACAACAAAGCAGCCCACCGTCCTAATCTCCCGTTGAGCCCTCGAGACTGCATCAACCAGGCTAACGTAGAATGTCGGGTCAGTACAGTGATCTCCCCGCGAGGCAAGCGTAGTATAGCATACATCCAACACACGAAGTAGCGCCAGCACTTCTTTTTCTACCGTTCCGTAGTTAAGCTCATTAGGCTTTAAAGTGCGGCTAGTAAACGTCACCGGATGGTACACGCCATCGTACTCCTGTATCAGGGCCGCTGAGACAGCCCACTTGCTAGCGTAGACCACGATTACGGGGGACCGATCTGGGTCGAAATGCTTGAGCATGGGAGCTGTAGCTATCTTAGCTTTTAGCATAGTGAAAGCAACCTTGGCTTCCGTCCATCGACCCTCGTTGGAGCATTCGTCTCCTGCTGCAAGCTGAGATCGGCCGATCTCGAAGAAATCCGATTCTCTTAACTCATACAACACCGCGGCATACACCGCGAAATCCTCAATGAAGCGACGGTAGTAGTTCAAGCTCCCGAGAAAGGATTGCATAGCTCGTAGCGTGCTAGGAAACGGGATGTTAACCAACGACTCTAGGTTCTTGGGCTGAGCCTCCAGACCATCCATCGACACTCGATGTCCCAAATAATCGACCTTACGGCACCCCCAAAAGCTCTTCGTGAGGCTGATAGACAGATTCCACTTATCACATGCCTCCAGCAACCGTTCTACTTTTGTGTACAAAGATCCCCATGACGTGGCTGGTATGAGAATATCGTCAATGTAAGATCGGCGTCCCAGTATAGACGGTCGTCGATCTGTCTCAGGTTCTCCATCTTTGAACACGTCGATCGGGCCATCAGAAGCTGATCTCTGGCCGATCTTGAGATATCCATACAACGCATTGTCCACCAGACGTTGGTAGATCTGGGGCGCGTTCTTAAGCCCAAAAGGCATTCGCAGCCACTCGAACAAGCCAAACGGTGTGACAAACGCTGAGATCAGTTTTGCTCGTTCAGTCATTTCGACGACCCAAAATCCACTAGCCATGTCTAGCGAACAGTACCATAGAGCTTTATCCAGATCTTCCAACAGATCGCTGATCAACGGCATGGGATAAACCATCAGACGCGTCAGCTGGTTAACTCTTCGATAATCAATGCAAAGGCGAATATCCACTCCGTTCTTCTTGATGATCACCACTATCGGAGACGCCCAAGGTGACGTGGATGGCTGAACGATTTTGGCTGCTAATAGTCCTTTGATGAGATCTGACAGCTTCTCCCGATATTTGGGTGCGACCGGACGCACTCTTTGCGCTATCGGTGCTGCCCCACCGACATCAATATCACAGATCGCGCCTCGTGCTGCTGGTGGTAGAGCATTACCTTTACCCATGAGGAGGTGACGGCTCTTCCAGATCAGCGATCTGAGCCGTTGTTGATCTGTGGTGAGAGGCACATCGGGATCACCGATCTGAATGTCCTCAATCGTAACTTCTTCCGTAGTCGCCGACATCTCTGGTAGCACGGCCATATGCTGCTCGATATCTTCCGCAAACAAATCTCCGCTCTCGTGGTGATAAACTGGTATTTCTGCAATCTCGACGTCTTCAGTATTTAGCATTATTTCTTCTTTAGGCTCCTTCGTCTCTTCCGGCTGGCCCAATTTCAACAGTCGGTCAGTCGGCTCAGCCTTCGGTAGAGACGATCTGTCACGTAGCCCTTCTTGACCGGTGTCGCGGTCTCCCTTCGTTGCATGTTGGGTACCGATCTCATGACCGTTCTCCATCCGCGATAGTTCGGCTCCCCTGACCGTTACTTCCCTCGCAACTACAGCATCTGCCTTTTGCGAATCGTCATCGTTAGCTTGCGACGTTACCGTGGAGATCGCCGGAGACAGGTTCTGTAACGCATCAGACGGACGTTTCAAGATGCGTTTGGGAGCGGCATACGTAGGACGATCTACCAATGGTCCGATCGGTTCTTTCGGGAGTTCGTTCACTCGATCCGTTGTAGCCTCATATGCCAGAGTTTGCCATTCCTTGTACTTCCCCGACCCGACTGTCACCAAACCTTGGGTCCGCGGTACCATATCGCCTTCGACCCACATGCCTAATATAGTGTGGGTGGGCAGTATGATCTCCCGGTCGCCAATGTTGGTCATCTGCAGGTATTTCGTCTTACCCCACCCCGAGATCACAGTGGGGACCCAATCTAGTCCTCTAGCGACCCACAACTTCATCTTAGCCCCTCCGATCCCGATCTTCACTTCCCTTGACTCTCCGACCGGGATCACCACGTGTTGGTCCTTCGCCGTTATATGTTGTATCTTCGATCCGTACGCGGGGCGACGTCCTGCGAGATGAATGCGGATTTCTTCTGGTAGACATAGCGCGCCATCCGCTAGATCGAGCCGCACTCCAGCAGGCACCATAAAATCCATACCCAGAATCGCTTCTTGCCCTGCCAGATCGCCTACCCATACATTGAAATAGTATACCAGCGATCCCGCGAGGGTCACCTTGATCTTGGTACGTCCTACCGTCATGTACGGAGTTTCTCCAATCCCGATACATTCTTGTCGTTGACTTTCGTCAATATTGCAACCGACCTCACGAGCAAAGGTGGTGTCAATGATCGACACTTCAGCACCAGAATCAAATAACAGAGTAGCTTTTACGTTGTTGATCTTGCCAACGGCTTTCGCTTGTTTGAACCACTTCCCGGGTGAATAATGTTTCCAGTATCCGCGAGATTCACCATAAGCGAGCTCGATCTCCATAGCTGGTTCAGATCGTGAGTACTCATCGATCCGCTTCAGATGGGACACGGAAGCGACACGTTTTAACTTCGAACGAGATATATTTGTTTCCACGTCAATATCCTGCTTACTCTCGCGATCTGTCTTCTTTTTTCCACGTATGCAATAATGCAGAGCCCAGAACGCTCGGCTCGTACCAGATTCAAACCTGGCGAGCGTCCTAGTTTAACATCTTCTCGGCCTTCTCTGGTAGCATCCCCGCATGCTTATTCGGGACGTACCACTGACGGATCATGTTGTAGAACTCCTCCATGGGACACTTCCCCGGGTCGTGCATCTCACCGCAAGCACGACACACGAAAAACAATTGTCAGAGGGGTGTCCTTTACGCCCACACTTCTGGCAAGTGAGCCGCTTCCAGCAACCGAGATCTCCATGCTTGGTCGATCCGCAATGAGTACACGGCTTCAATGGCATATTGCGATCTTGATAGTCTTGACGAGTGTTCGGGTCGACCGATCTCGCGTTTGCTGCAACGTCATTGGGGGATGAACGGCGATCCGCAGTAGCAGCCACATGGATCGATCTCAATCGATCTTCCAAATCCGATCCGCAGGTGTCCGATCCTGACTCGCTGCAGACGTCCTCGGTACGGACCATCCTTACCGCTCGTGCAGGCTTAGACAGCGCTGGACCCTGAGTTCCCTTCTGCCTGAATTTGGACGATCCCATCATCACTTTCCCTTGACGCGATCTCCCTTGTTGATATCCGTGCAGTGTCTTTTGCATGGCCTCCGCGTCTTCTACATTCAGCAGTAGCAATTGATTGGACAGATCGGGGTCGTCCAAGGTGTCAATGAAATGATTGACATGTTCCTTGCGCGCAGCTGGCAATCCAGTCATCACCGGTATCTTCGCCTGCATTCCCATCACATTAAGCCGATACAGGTACTGTAAAGGATCTTCCTCCGATCGTTTCTTTGCATGGTAGTATTGCCTGCTCGCGGACATCCCGTGTCCCGCATACTCCACAAGAAAACTGTTCATCAATTCTTTCCAATTGAATCTCGTCGATCTACTCAGCTGTCGGTACCAGTAGCGGGCTGGGCCCACCATGAGATCACCGAAGACCAGACATCTCTCCTCGTCCGGTGCTTGGTCCCGGATAAACGCTGATTTCACTTTGCCGATCCAGTTTCGTGCTTTGTCTTCTTCCCGATCCTTCCCTGAGAATTCTTTCAGCTCAGAAATCGCTGAGATTCTGATCCTCTGCGTGATGTTTCCCCCTCCGGTAGTCGCACCGGTCGCGGCTACTTGAGGGCGCCGTGGTTCGGGCATCCATAGATCATCCGGGTCGTATTCCGCCGCCTCATGGATATGTTGGTAAATGTCCGACCCCACCGACTCCATCTCCACATCCGGCATGTCAAGGCTTTCGTGTGAAGGTTGGAGCAAAGTACGTCGATCTGGGTAGCGGTTTGGCTGTCGATTCATTCGCTGAGCTGTACGTTGCTCCGCCTCGTACTTCTTCATGGCTGAATTGAAGTACCGACTTAGATCGCCCTCTTCTTGATCCTCCAGCCCAGTGCGGGTACTGGCCGATCTCTGCGGCATGTTGCTCTTGGCTTGTCCCTTATAGGCGTCGATCTTGGCTTGTCCGATCTTGTCCTTTAAGAACCTTCCACCCGATGGTCCTAGAGACATCTGACGAATGCTGATGGATCCATCTGACTCGCTCTCGGAGTCATCCGAGGCGTAGCGGGCGATCCCGCGGGGTGTTTACAGAGCGAGCCCGAGGGCGTCCCGATCTTGTCTTCAGGAGTATTCGCTTTGCCCACCAGCATTATCATGATCTCTACAAACTCATTCGCCGCGTCCTTCAACTGTTCCAAGCTGCAACTCAGCAGTTCATCTCCATCAAAAGCGTCAGGGCAGATACCCATGTCGTCCAACATCTGCAAAATCACATTGATCTCGTCGACTTTGTTGGTCCCGTGAAGTGGGACCGAGATCGGCTTATCCAGAGGACCAATCACCTTGGGCCTTAATATCTTGAACACTGGGTCCGTCTTGAGCAGCGTCTTCAACTGGCCATAATAGTACTGCCATTTTGCACGCTCCCGCGCTTCACCCGTCGTCTCCTTCTCCATGGACGCGATCTTTATTGGGTTATATTCCGTCTTTGGCATCGCGATCTTATCTGGTGTTTCATCGTATTCCTCTTTGGCTCCGATCTTCGATTGCACGGTTCGGCCGATCTGGCGATCTTTGACATCTGATCCCATCGATCTCGTCGCGGATCGTTCTGATGTGGTCGATCTCGCGATTGTGCTCTTCGGCTTGAGGTCGGGCGATCTATCGACTAAGATATAGGGTTTGGCTTTCGCCGATTTGGTTTTCACCGTTGGATTTTCATCCAGCAGATCGCTCTTTGCAGAGCGATCTGCGGTGGCCCCCGAAGGGACCCTAGGAGGGAATTGAGGTTTATCTTCCAGATCGATCTCTCGATCTTCCTCTTTCATTTTCATTTCATCAGAGCCCCTCCCAAAACTCTGATGATCTGAGGATCTTGTGCTTCTGCGTGTCTGCGTCGATCCCTTTGTCGCTGACACTTCAATCCCAGGTTCTTGCTTAATCTTGACATCTTCGCCAGTGGACTCACGGTGAAATCCAGAGGCCTCAGAAGATCCGGGCACGCGCACCATTGTGGTGAAGTCGATCTCACAAAATTGCTTGTATGAGTGTCGATCTTCCACTTGCCCAGACTTGCCGACTCACGGAGGGGGTACTCCGATCCGTGCCTTGTTGTATGACCTTGTGCTCACCTTGTGTACCCGTCGGTTGGGCTGGCTTGAGCTCTTCGTAACGGCCTTGGGAGATGTCGATCTCGCTGAGAGGTTGGGTTGAGGGTTCGCTTCCGGTGCGGAAATCTTCACACCACGAACGGGGGTTCTGCGATCCCGATCTTGGATCGCACCGATCTTGATTTGTCTTCGAGATCGGGGTCTTTGCTGTGCGGAAATCTTCACTCAGCAAATAAAAGTCCTGCGTCGATCTTGCCTTGGGATCGGTCCGATCTGGTCTTGGGATCGGCCGATCTTGCCGGAAGTGCGCAATTTGGGTAGATCGGTGTCTTGTTTCGCCAAAATGAAACGTGCCGATCTGTCCAGGGGATCGCTTCGATCCTGCTCGGTCTTGTCTTGAACGCCTTGTCCAGATCTTCTGACCACTTGAGCCGTCTCGCGATCCTGTGTCCAAAATCCTTTTCCTTTTCCGTTGTGTGCTGCTACCCTAGCAGTTGAGTTGAGTGTGAGTACTTGATCGATCCGGGCCAGATATCCCGGGATCGCTCTTCTCGATCTTGGCCAACAATCCAAGATCGGTCTTCTGTGTCCCCTGTAACACGCGTGCCTTAACCCGCCGGGGAAGCCAAATCAATCTTGCCTGGAGAAGAGGGGGGAGGATAACGTGCGTCGTGAGCAGAAGAAGTAGAGTTCAAGTCTGTTTATTAACCAACCAAATTACTATCCAACCCTACCCCTTGGGCCTATTCTTAACTATAGGTCACTCTTCAAACCGATATCGCCTTGAATCTGGATCGCCCCCTTGCCACGTGTCGAAATTTCGTGTGCCCTGTACTCAATGATAGCGCCAATATTCCCGATACCGTACCTGAACTGCCAAAAGGACCAAATCCCAAATGGGGTACCAATACCCCATTTTGGGTACCCAAAAGCCCAAAATAGTGCCCAAATGCCGAAGGCGTCTAAATCCATTTTTGCGACGTCAATTCCGCCCCCGGACAACTTCCACTGGCTCTTCAGGCTTTGAAACTTCTTCGACATCACTTAAGTGACCTCTACCAAGTATATTTCACATGATCAGTGTCTTCCATCAACCATATATTATTCATGATCCGAGTGTGGAACATGACCGATCTGTCATCAATATCGAGATGTTGGAGGTCGATCCAGTCTAAAATCGGCAATTAACACTTTTTCATCTCCTCCTTACGTGCTTCAATATCGTCCTCCGGTGTTATCCAATCGACAGCTTTATTCATACGTCTCGACATCCCTGGTTTCCTTGACTCCCTAGAGTATGCAAAACTTCAGATCGGGTATATAAGTAGCCGAAATCAGTACTCCCAATTTAGGATCGGTAAAGAGTATCACCGATCCGTATGGTGTTGCACCTTCTTTGCCGATTCACCGACCCGTACCACCTGGTCCCAGATGCACTTTG